GCGAGTCTCCTCTACTGTCGCCGACATCGCGCGGCAAGTTTGGCCGATTCAGAAGTCGCAGTAGCGCTTCCTCTCAGGGATCGCAAGCAGCTGGTGGGGAGCAGAAGCATGACAAACTGGCGGAGCGGTTGCACTTTGGACGGAGCAGGTCGAGCAGCTCAATAAACGTGCCGGACAATCTGCCAGAAGTGGGAGGAGACGGCGTCGCACGAACAGAGGAGGAAGAGGCCAAGTGGGAGACGAGGGCTACGGTGCTGGTCACACATTCGCAATACGGATCTAGTCAGCCCAATACACCAAGCCACGAGTCTGTGAATCCAATGTCACATGGACGACCGACGAGCGCAAGGAGTCGTAGTGGGACTGTCGGTGCGCCTGCGGACGAGGTATGCATAATTCTGGGGAAGGGCAAGAATTGGTCTAAGCTTTGCATAGGAGACGATCCAAGAGGCCATCCGTCTGCATGAGAGTAGTAGTGAGTAGTCACACGAGGTGGGTTCTCATGATGAAGCTGACAGGATGACCAGATCTTGAGGCCTCAACGGCGCTCTTTGGCAGACTTGCAGAACCAACGGGTGCGAACAATGCTCTAGCGCAGGTTCTCTACGGTCTCGCATTACGGTAGGTCCAGCCTCACTGATCGCAGCCTGATATCTCCAGAGCATACCCGAATGTTGCCCTGGATGTTGCCCAAGGCAGTACTGACTAGAACATAGCCATGGCTGGGGATGTGAGCCTGACCAGGAACAAGCTGTCCAATACCTGTCCATGGCAGCGGCGAACAGCGCTGAGGTCGAGAAACTCGCCCTCGGCGCCGGCATGAAGAAAGGCGGTGCAGCCAAAGGGGAGCTCGTGCTGGCCATGTACGAACTCGCCAACTGCTTCCGCAATGGCTGGGGTATCAAGAAAGATCCCGCAGCCGCAAAGCAATACTACGAGACCGCCGCGAATCTAGGTGACACAGATGCGATGAACGAGGTAGCCTGGTGCTATACCGAGGGGTTTGGAACGAAGAAGGATAAGGTAAGCAAGCCGTGTCGTCTCTCCTCAGCCCAACTGTGGCCGTCCTGCAGTGCACGCCTGCGTCACCGGTCAATGTCGACTCGTTTAGAAGTTCATGCGATAGCGACGCGAACGGTCAGCCCGGAGGTCTTGTACAGCCTCGACCTCAGCCATCACGCGCAATATGCACTGAGACACGACTTCCCCTCGTTATCCCGCCTCATTGTTTGGGCAGCATTGATTGTATTCGGATTAAGCGGCAGGTATGCTAACTGCGCCTCGCCAGTTCAAAGCGGCTCAGTTTCTGCGCCTCGCGGAATCCAAAGGGAACAAGACGTTAGGCAACACATGGTAAGCCCCATAGATTCTTTCCTTCATCCCCTTCTGTATCGAGCACGAAGAGCGAGAATATGCCGGACCGAGGACCACCTTGACGCCGTGTGGATGGAGCACATGGTGGTCACCACGAGCAGCCATCACGACCTTCATCCGCGCGATCCCGTTCCAGCCGGTGTTGCATCCTCAATCAATCCTCAACACCAAGCCACCATAGCAACCAGACAGGATCCAACAATCCAACGCACAGCGCTACTGTCCGCATCGGCCGACCGGTTTCAACGCGCATCTGCCAAGCATAATCGATTGGCCCTCGATGCACCGTTTTGAACAGTCCTGCTCGCTTAGTCGATGCGGACGCTGGACGGCCCTCGCCCTCACCCGCAGCACGACCTGTCACACTTACTGCCAGTTCCCCGCTACGCACACATGATGGCATTCGCAAAGAAAAACTTGACCAGTAGCACATGTCCCGTTTGGCACAAGCCTCGCTCTCCCGTTCCAATAATGGATAGTGGCATGCCTCCAGACCCGTTGCGCTGGGTGCATAGTACACACAAGCTTGTCTACGGGGATACACGTGGCGCGTCGCTGGTGGCCTCGGTTCCGAAGCGGAAGAGTAAGCGGAACGATGGGGAGGTTTAGCCAATTATGACGGAACCACGAACGTTGTGGTGTGTGTGGAGCACAGTCAGATGGTGCATGTACGGATGGTCTGAGCAAAGCTGGAGATTGAGTTGCATTGATGGCGCGACAATGGTGGTGCTGAAAGAGAAGCGGAAGATTGTATGACGGCTATCGCGACAATGACGGCAGCCTCGGGACGACGACCAACGACCCATCAACAACTTCATCACGATCTGGATCTGGGTCTTTAGCCCGCAGTAGTCTCGGCATCCCGTTGCCTTCTTGGTCTGCACCGACTGGATACCGAGGATGTTTTCACTGATTGGTGGGATGAACAACGTGCTGACTTATCTCTCTCTACAGGATCTGGAAGGACAAATACAACCCCAAATAAGGCGCGATCCGCAACCCGCTTACGGACAGGTCCTTCCGTCCCGGTCCGACTCTACTTCAACAAGCCTTATCCTGGAAGTCATGAGGGCACACACCCGGAAGTGGTCGTGTGAGGACAGTGACGGAAGCCTGGTCCCTTTCCCGCGCGGGGAAAGGGAAAAACAAGCTATTGCTTTTGTTTTTCCTTTGCTCGGAAACTCACACCGTATGTCTTGCATAACGTTATTTCCAATAATTCACATCATTGCTGGCCTATCATCGTCGCCGTACTATCTTGAATTTTTCCTTTACCCCCCCATGACTGTTGCTTAGTTCACACGCTATCGTTTGCTGAGGATGCACGTAGAGTAAGTGGCTTGCTGAAAGGCCGTCATCTGGATCTGGGAAGCGAAGGTCCGGAGGGCTGTACACGGACAATGTCTCTGGTACGCGATAGGCTATGTTTCCGCTTTCAGAACGTGGGGAGCATGTGGTGTGGCACAGCAACGGCGTTATGTCGTAGTACAGCAGCCCGTTTCTTGTTAGTTTGTCAGATGAAGCTTGCTGGATGTTGCGTTTTAGGCGATGGTGTGTTTACCCGTATCGGATCGTGTGTGACGGTCAAGACATCGGTCTTTGGCCTTGCCCTTCTGATGTCCTCTTTCGATAGATCGTCCTCCCCAAGTGTCCATGTATCGTATATCGTGTTGACTACTGCAGGGAAACTGACCCTCTTTGCTCAGCCACTCACACCACGCATCTCAGGCTTCCCGCGACCCATCTGATCCCCTCACAAAGAAGCGGTCCGAATATGAATCATCCATCATCCATGATACCATTCTCTGCTGCATTCATCGTGTTTCACCATAGCTGCACGCTTCTGCACAGTCAAGTCAGATCCTTTCGACATGTTACCAATCAAGGTACTTAACATAGGGTGGGGCGTAAGACAACATTCGTCATCCATCGGACGAGGGAAAAAAAGGTGGCTCAGCCCCACTGAGGGCCCGATAACTTGCATATTGCATGATATGCTGGACCCTGTGGTAAATCCGCAGTCCGCAGACGTTGACTTTCCAGGTCTCACCTTGTGAGCAGAGTGGGGGATGTGCAGTTTTTTTGGGGCTATTGTTCCGCGTGAAGGAAGGTAATCGGCTGGGTGGCTTGCGTTGGCGAAGCGTCATACCCACAGTAAAGAGAGTGAATTACTGGACATGGTGAACGGCTGTGCAGTCAAAGGGTACGTGCTTCAGGCCATGCATTATGCACCGCGCGTAGACTTGTGAAGCATGTCAGAAAACCCGCGGATGGCGCGTTTTCCCGTTTGTTATGGAAGGGAGATCCTTTCATGGACGCTTCGCGCGACGCGAGGCACGCGACGGACGGTCAACCGCGTGGGCCCTCGACGGAAAAGCCGTAAGTGGAGAAGGGGTAATTCACACATGAAGCGGTGGAGATATGGACTGGCGTTGAATGAATGATTCACTGCGACCAAGTGGGCGGGCTGGCGTTGTCAGATGCAAGAGTCTCGAACATGGCAGTCAGTGGCGAGGACGACGGGTTTCACAGACCAGTGGGTGAAGTCGGGTGCACATTCAAGGAAGCGATGTAAGCGCTGGAATGGAAGGGCATCCGATAGCATTACTTGACTCGTTCGCACTTCTCTCCTCGCCAATAGAGTGGGCGACTACTTAGGTACAAAGACATTGTCCCGGTGGTGCCATGCCAACCAATCGAGCCCTGCCCACCAAGGCCCTGTGACAAAGGTCGCAGAAACGGCCGCATCTGTGACGCGACAAGGGAATAATCGTGAAAAAGCTGGTATCTCAAAACATGCGCGGACAACAGGTCCGGAAAGGGGGTATTACGAAAAGTGATAGCGTGAGTAGGTGACCGTGAGAAGCGTAAAGGTCGTAATAGAACTTATGTTAGTCGTAAGAGGAGGAGGAAGGGGGAAGGAGAAGGGGAAAGCATCGTCTCTTTCAAGCAATAAAACAAAACTTGTAATCATCCTCCTCGCTCAAGTACCAGAAAATAAGAATGCTGCCAATCTGTCTCGCTCTTGTGCCATCATATACAACTCTCGTCGTTTGTCGTCGGATACATGTCCCATGTCCTTCGTTTCAATCTCTCTCCATATCTCGTGGTAACGTTAAGGGAAAATATCCAACGCTCGCTACGCTTTGCAGTAAATACAAAAGATGAAGCCAACCGCGAATGTGTGCTCGCTCTGCTCGCTGAACCAATCTGATGCCAAAGGGATAACCAAGATACAAAGGAAACAATAAACACAAAACTAAATAGGTGAAGTCGTGAACCAGGTCTCGACGTGGAAGGAAAACAACCGCCATGTTATGCTCAAGCGAAGAAGGGTACCTGATGAGGTGGACCCAAAATTCGACGTTGCCGTCCCATATTGTAGAAGACTGGCAAGCGCCAGAGCTGTGGTAGAAAGGAAAATGGCGATGCCCATCGTAGGCGCTCAAAGGAGAAACGCGCAGAAGAACGAGGTTCCAGCCGGACCATGATGCAACTTGTGACCCTATAGGCACCCCTATAGAAGGGGTGCTAAGAAGTGAAGCGCTATGCTGATAAACGACAAATGCAACTTAGGGGAGTACAAAGGAGAGGTAGTTTGTTGGTAGTGATCGTGGTGGGGCTATTTAGCCCATGTTTTCAACTTTGGTGCCGTCGGATGTGCTGGGTCGGGACATGGCAGCAGACTCCTCAACAATGCGCTTGAACTCGTGGACGACCTCGGGGGCGATCTTGTCCCAGAGCAGACTGCGAGTGTAGATCTCAGCAGCAGAGTCGCCCTTGCTTTGCTCACGCATAGCGGCGAGGGTCTCGGCAAGGTTGCGACGGTGCGATGGCTGAGAGCCAGGCGACAGCGGGTCGCTGAGGTCGTCGCTGGTCATGCTGTAACGCGAGCGAGTGAAGTCGAGAGACGTCATGCTGTTGTACTGGTCGGGAGTGATGGAGAACAGCTGCTCGTGCTCTTGCTCCTTGGTGGGCCCAGTGAGATGAGAGTGCAGCTGGTCGAGGTGCGAGCCAGAGATACCAGCAAGCTCAGAGCCAGACATGGTAGTCTTGGGCCAGGCCATGCCGGAAGGCGTAGGCTCGAGACCGGTGACGTGGCTGGCAATGAGACCCTGCTCGCTCATAGCGGTCGACACACCAGCATCCTTGAAGATGCTGTCGAGAACGGTAGCGGAAGCGGCACGGACCTCGTCGGGCATGCGAGGAATGGGAGGAGCGGCACCACCGGACTTGCTTGCGACAAAGGCACCGCACAGCAGGAGCATGAGCAGGAGGCCAGAAGCGACGGGCTTGTCCTCATCCTTGCGGGACACAAGAGAGAGCTCTTGGTTCTGCTGAGGAGTGGGCTGGTCTTCCGAAGCGAAGTCGTTGACGAAGATGTAGTTGTCCCAGTCGCTGTTGCCCATGTTGAGGTTGTCCATCTCAGAAGCGAAGTCAGTGAAGGTGCTGCTGGGTGCGGCAGCCATGCCGGTGCTGCTGGCAGCCTCAAGGCGCTCGGTGAGGACCGAGACCTTCTTGCGAAGCTCGCCGGTCTCGAGAGTGTGGTTGCGCACAAGCTCCTCCTTGTCGAACTGCAGCTGGTTGATCATGTGGTGCATCTCCATGGACTCATGGTGCCACTTCTCCTTCTCAGCGACAAGGGAGTCGTACTCGATGCGCATGGAGGCGAAGTCATCTTGCATCTGGCAGATCTTCTCCATCCACTGCTTCTTCTCCTCTTCGAGCTCCTCGGTGTGCTTCTTCTTTCGTTGCCGGGAGTCAAGTCTAAGATGATGTTAGCTGATGAATAGGGAGAGGATAGACCAAGAGGTAGATTGGACCAAACGTGGAGCGTGGAACCAAGAACCAAATGGGAGTACGTACGCGGCCTGGCGGTTGCGGAGGAGTCGTTTTTGCTGCTTCAGCTCCTTGAGGTCCTCTTCGTTGGTGCAGCTCTGGATGAGGTTGTCGATGTTGACGAGGGTGCGCTCGGCCGGGATGTCGAAGCGGGCGTTCTTCTTGCGGATGCCGCCGTCACGACGAGGGGAGAAGGAGCGGGGAGGGGTGTTGGGCCTCATGCGCTTGGGTCCGGGCCGTGCGTCCATCTCCTGCTGGTTGAAGGCCATCCAGTCGGAGTGCGTGTGGGGCGACATGGGCTGCTCTGGGGCTGAGGGGAAGACGGCACTAGGTCGGACATTTTGGTGCACGGGGAGTCCGTGGAAGGGCATCTGCTGCTGCTCGACGAAGGGCGCCGCTCCAAAGTCACCGGGGCCGAAGGGGTTCAGCGGCTTGGGGGCTGTGGGCGTCCTGGAACCAGAGTTGTCGGTCACGGGCCATGACTGCTGGCCGTAGGTAGCAGCTTGGTTGGGTGGTAACCGGGCGAAGGGGTTGTTACTTTGCTCGGTGAAGAAGGGGTTGTTGCCGTTGGTGTTGACGACGGAGCTGGTGGCGGTGCGGTCGACAAACTGGCCGGCGGAGAAGTCCTCCCAGATGGAGGTGTCGGGCGAGAAGATGCCCTGGGTGCTGGTGGTGGGCGACATGAGCACGGGCGTGTCCAGGATGGTAGAGTCGAGGGTGGCGTTGTCGTCAAAGGAAAAGGCGGAAGGTTTCCTGTCGAGGTTGTTCAGTGTGGAATTCGGCCTGTGAAAATCCATGTGATGTGCGTTGTTGGAGTATTGATGGTCCATGGCGGGCCTATGTATCAAAGTACCGGTGTGGGCGCGGGACTGGCGGTGTGGATTGCTCTTTTCGGTAAAGGTGATCGCAGGATGTCCCCAGCGATTGTACTCAACTTCAACGGTTGCGGGTATTGGGGCAGGAAGACGGGCAGCAGAGGCGATGCGCGTCTGATAGCGAGCGATGGGCAGGTAGCGGCTCAGTGAGGGTCTGGGTGGTGGCAGGTGAAGGTGGGAGAGGGGGCTTAAAGCATGGTGGTAGGCTTCGGGCGGGGTGTGCAGGAAGCGCAAGCCTGCTTGAGCGCGACGACCGGGGTCACGCTTCCGTGGGATGCATCTGGGCACGAAACCGAGCAAGGCCCTGCGATAGGACGCCCCAATAGCGTCGGGTATTGATGCATCATTCCAGCACTCTTCCCAGCAGCGACTGGCTGGGGTTGTCCTGTCACGCCCGCCATGGGCCCATTCACCCTCCGCACCGATTACCCAGTGTTTGCCCTGGGGCCGGCGCTGCACGTCGCTGGACGAGCCGTCTGCGTAAGTGATGCTTTGCCGTTTGTCGCGCGCCCGCTGTCACGCATCTGCCTCTGGCTTTGGCTTCACGGGGACAGGCCTTCTGTCACTGCCGCCGTCTACCAGACATGGCGCTTGGTACGACAGCTGCCACAGCTTCGGCTCAGCTCCCGTGCCGCCCTGCCTGTGCTCTGCGCTGCTGCACCGCTGCTCTGCCTCTATCGATACGCAGCATGACTGGCTAGCCTGCGCGGGCCGGCCCATGTACTGCCATATTCCACCGGACAACCCCATCGCGATTCGCCTATACCCTCCTCGGCCGCCCGCCGTGAAAACTCTGCTCGAAAGAGTCAAGATGCGATGCGCGCTTGTCGAAAAAATACCCTCCCGCAACTGTGGGAATTGCTGTTTCGTCCTGGTAGCGGCGCATCGCGGGCTTACAGCGTAATCGCCATCATGACTACTGTCTGCTGAGCACGACGCGGCCCGCCTAAGCCCCGGCCGCCCTCACGCAACGACACCCCGTCCCTCACCACACTGACCACAGCCACTCGCAGACGGCAGTTGGCCGTCAGCCGACTCTGATCTCATTTCCCTTCCTGCGCAGGGTGAGCCCTCTTGGCCGCCTCGGTGCTCTTCATCATGGTGTCATCTGTCCAAGTTCCGGCGCCCTCTGGCGTCCGCGAGTCATCTCACCGCTCCCTGCCCGCACCACCCTTCCCTGTCTATTTTGGCTTTTCGACTACCGTTCCTGTACTTCCGTGTCCGCTCTCATTATTATCGTGGGCAGTTACTTGGTGCAAGGTACCAAGCGGCCGCCGCTCCGTCTGGCTGGACTCTTCTGCCTGCCCATCGAGAGGCAAACACCGCAGCCACAGCCTGCCGTCCTGTGCCACCCTCGAGATCCGACTGTCTCTTTTACCGAGGGTCTGGAAACTCTCCAGATTTTCCCCGCCGATCATTGGTCACTTTTCGCAAATCCTTATCATGCTTGCTTGTTGCCGCTTGTTATTCTTCCGCCGAGCATCATCGGACGGTTTGTCTCAAGTCTCGCATGATGCCCGTAGTAGGAAAAGTAGGACGCTGCGAAATCTTCATCTCCACCCCAATTACAATCTGCACGCCGTAATAGAGCCTTGCTATGGCGGTTTGTGCGCCCTGCCCGTGCCGTGCAACGCGTACTGCGGCTACTAAGACATCCATCCCCAAGCCAAACTCTCCAGATCGCGTTACACCAAATCAACGCGCCGTCTGTCGGAAATGGCAACGCGTCATTCTTCTTGTTGACAAGCTAGGTCAACTCGCCGACGCGTAAACGCTGCTCGCGCTGCATCTGGATCGGCCGTGGCTGTTGATCCTCTCTATCATGGCGCGTACTGTGGCTCGCGTTACTCGGGGCCAGGGACTGCATACTAAACCGAATGTAATGCTCCACTTATTGTATTCGGATGCTTCCGACCTGTCTACCCTGAGACGAGGGCTTCCAGTTGACCGGAACCCGCTACAGACGCTGATGCAAGAGGATCAAACAGACAGCATCAGAAACACGTTGAAGCCCAATCTCTGGGGCGCATAACATGAATGGCCCCAATTCACGTCGACTAATCGTGTCTGTCAAAAAGGTGAGGCTGTAGCGGTGAAAGACCCACTCTCCGCATCCGCGCATGGACCATCATCACTAGAACCTCGCCGTCATAGTTATTCCTGTCGTAGGGAATGTCCACGATCGTTGACAGCTTGGCACCATGCACCGAGGTTTGATCTGAAACAATGAGTCACTCGTCTTCTTTCTCCGCACCCGGCTTTGGCGTGGGGCCTGCATATCACCAAAAGCTTAGAGTACCGGCCGATGACGGCAAGGTCGTGGAAGACGGTGGAACAGCTAGAAGTCGAGGCCATTGTACCTTTACTCCATCGTAGTGGACCTGAAACACTTCGCGGGTCCGGTTACGCTTCCCGTCGGTCGTCCATTATCAAGCTAGACTGCCGGCCGATATCCAAGAACAGTCTATCGCACGTCTTGTTCCGATGTCGATCAATTTGCGGTGAAGAAGAAAGATTCTTGAATGTTCTGATCATTGCGGTGAAGAGACAGATTTGCTTGCTGAAACGGACGTGGTGTATTTTGGAAATATGGGTAGAGTCTTCCATAGAGAAGGTGACGCGATGCTACAGGCGGAAGGGTAACCACATGCCTCTTTCTGTGCGATGAATGCCGAGCGGTCTTCCGTTATCTCGCGATGATGAGCACATCACGACCGCGCAAGCCGGATTGTGTGGTTGGCATGTTGATCCAATGGAGCGCGGAAACGGGCAAGCAGCGGTGAGTTTCGGAATCGAAGAAAAGCAGCGAGCAAACATGTGAAGGAGGCTGGGTTGAAGAATGACGTTGCACACTCGTAGTTGCGCAACGTACTGTGAATTCGTAACTCCACGCGCTCGGGAGTACTGGGTATCTCGGTTCAAAGCTATGGACATTCTGTGTTCAACATCCCCGTTGTAGTGTAGAGAGGGAAAGCACTAACCTTTGTGTCTCCTTTCAAACGCATGGCCTCCGCTCCCCTTGCTTTTGTCGCGTGTTCGTGGCTGTTGCCGTCTGACGTGATGAGTCATAGCGTTGTGTAGCAGCTCTATTCTCATATTCCTCCGTTGTCGTCCCTGGCCCACAGCTTGACAGTGCGATCTTTGCCTCCACTGACGATCCAAGACGCGTCACTCGTCACGTCGGTACTGAAAACAGGACCTGAGTGACCTTGCAGTGTCTTGCAGTGTGCCCAGTCATCTGCGGAGAAGATCTGAACGTTTTTGTCAAAGCCTGACGAGATGACAAACGTAGAGGCTTTCTTTGGTATGACTTCTCCTTCGCTGTTCTCCTGTAAAGATACTCCGCTGGTTGGCCCATCTGTACCCTTAAACCATCGGAGGTCTGTGACACCTCCTGTGTTGGCGGCAATTGAGTTTGTCTCTCTCATCGCTCGAACGTCCCAGCACTTCATGAAACCGTCACCTGAGCCGGACAGAAGGCGATGACCGTCCGTTGACCAGTCGAGGCCGTAGATGGGCTTGATGTGGCTCTCCAACATGTAGATGACACGACCTGTACGCACATCCCACACGCGGCCGATACTGTCAAGACCAGCACTTGCAACCAATGACCCATCACCGCTGAAGCTCACGGTATAGACCTCTTTTGAATGACCCTCTTGCATGAGAAGTTCTTGACCGGTGTTGACGTCCCAGAGTCGCCATGTCGTGTCGTCGGAAGCGGAAGCCAGGTATTGTCCCGACGGATGGAATGCTACTCTGCAGACGCGGTCGGTATGGCCTTCGAGGGTGCGCAGGGGCTTGTCGTCATCTAGCGACCAAAGCTGAATCTTGCCCCCTGCTCCGCCAGATGCGAAGTTTACGCTAGAGGTTGAGACGTTGCTACCTTGTAATGTCGCGCCTGGCATCCAGTCTATGCCAGTAGCACGCTCCGTGTGTCCACCACGATACGCCTTCTTCTGCTCCAAGCTGGGAATTTCCAACAAGGCAACCTTTCCACCCCAGGTACCATATGCGACATACTTGCCGTTGGGCGAGACGCGCACAATGCTCACTGGACGATCTGCGGTTTGCGACCCATACAGCTCGAACCCCTTGAGACGGTCCTTGATCTTGTTCCTGAACTCGACGTGGGTTTTGAGGGGAATGGTAGCTTCGCGACGCTGGAACGCGACGCGCTCCTTTGCGCGGGGTAAAGAGTATTTGGCCATGTTCCGTCGCGCGTCCAGTAGCGACTGCGTGCCTTGGGTATAGAACTCTTCCTGCTCATCACCTGGAGCTTCCTCCACATCTTGCATGTCCACGTCTGCCGCATCCTCGCCTAGTGCTTCTGCTGCCTCTGCAAGTAAAGCTCGGAGTCGGTCGCGTCGCTCAGAGGGCCCCTCGCCGAATAGGGTGATGGGCTCGCCTCGCGATCGCAGCTTTGCCTTGACATCGCGGTCGGCGGTCGGTACGATTAACTGCGCTGCTCGTCGTTTGCGGTCGAAGTCCTCCATAAGGGAATGGGCCGACGCGTTTCCCCCACCGGGCATGGCATGGTTACGGTCGAGCGGGACACTGGAAAGGTCGATGCCCTCCATCGCATCAGCCTGGGGGCTATGGTCAGCTTTTATGCGAACAGAAGTTGCGACCGAGCTACGAAGCCCGCGATGCTTCTGCGCCAGTCTATCGCTGCAACTTGGGGTACGTACCGCGCCATTCTCCTCCTCGACATAGGCTTGTCGCGCCGGGTGCATGCTCATGGTGACTACGGGTCCCGCGGCGGGGAAGGATGTTGGTGCTCGGGGGGAGTATCTCGAAAAGAAGTTCCGAGCCAGACCACGGGTTTAGGCGATAGGGCTGAGCTAGCGCCGGTTATGTCATACTCCGCGTTTGAGACGAAGCTTGAAGCACCTGCAGTGTTTGGTCTAGACGAATATGCTCTGCAGGTAGAGACCAGATCTCAGTAAAACAATGCCTTTCTGTTATCCCTAGTTTGCTATTGGGGTGTTTCTTGCTATATCTACCCAACAAGCATGCTTCAGATAATTGTAAGTACTCCACGAACTAGCCGATCGGCAATGACGACGGCCAATGTGATTTCTTAGCCCAGAAGTCCCTTTTCCTTCAACATAATTTGTCGCAGAGGTACGGCACCGCCAACAGGCGCTGATTCTGCTGCCAATTCCCACGTACTGACTCCCATCTCCAGGCTCTGGCTGTGGCCATGTCATTTGCGATTACCAGCGCTGCGGGCCTTGCGCGACTTCCACCTGTGTCGCGACGCGCCTCCTCTAGTGGACTCTTCCTGTTTGCTCTCGCCGCATCTCCATTGGCAGCGCCTGCCTCGTCTAGTCGAACAAGCGGCCTTCATTCGCAGCGCATGCCTTCCAACTTCGCACAACCAACCTGCCCGCTGAACAGAGATACCTCTCCGGCCACTGTCGGCTTACGCTCCTTTCATTCGACTTCACACAACTGGCGGAGTACGCCGCAATATACATACCATGTTGCGGCATCCTACTCAGCCAAGCAGGATCGCTTCAATGCGGAGCAGAATCTGTTTACACGACCGCTGCATGACCCCAGCAGTAGCAAGGTTGAGGACCTGCGCGAATGCAAGGAGGCCATAGACAAGCGGAAACGAGCGAAAAGTGGCCAGGATGCTTTCTTTTTCAGCCAGGTGGGAAACACAAACACCACAACATTTGGTGTTGCAGATGGAGTAGGAGGATGGGTCGAGTCTGGATTGGACCCCGCCGACTTCTCTCATGGATTGTGCGAGTACATGGCTTGCGCCGCGCGCTCATGGCCGCACGGATTCAACACGACAGCATTACATCCGAAAGACCTGCTCCAGGTCGCGTACGACGAGGTCACGGATGATGACACCATTGAGGGTGGTGGTAGCACGGCATGCCTGGCTGTTGCCGAACCGGATGGCAATGTCGAGGTAGCCAACCTGGGAGATTCAGGATTCATGCATCTAGGACTCAATGCCGTACGACATTTCACGCAGCCTCAGACGCACGCCTTCAATACCCCGTATCAGCTTTCCAAAACTCCCCAGCGCATGCTCGTGCAAATGGCCGTATTCGGAGGCCCATCCACACTCTCGGATCTACCAAAGGAGTCAAGTATAACGCACCACAAAGTACGCCATGGCGACGTTCTCCTCTTTGCAACCGATGGTGTGTGGGACAACCTGAGCCCACAGGATGCGCTCGGTATTGTCAGTCGTCACATGGTCGACCTGGGAGCTTGGGTCGAGAAAGATGGCACTATTGAGGTTGGACAGGATCTAGCGAAGCTGGTACAAGCCGACTCAGCTCGTAAAGCTGATAGCTCCTCCCTCCAAGCCAAGGTGGCTGTTGCGATAGCGAAGGAGGCAAAGGTGACGGGGCTTAACACTCGTCGGGATGGCCCCTTCGCCAAAGAAGTGCAACGATACTACCCTGGGGAGAATTGGCACGGTGGCAAACCGGACGACATTGCTGCCGTGGTAGCTGTCGTGCTTGAGGATGCACCGCAGCGCGCAAAGCTGTGATTATATGCATTAGATCTCTGTTGTTTGGCTGCATGGGTAGGCGATGGCGTTTTGGAGAGGACTCAGGCGCGGAATCGGAGGCGTATCTGCGCATGCCACTATGGGTTGGTAATCGTCTTAGCGTATGAAGTTCAGTGGTGGTTACGAATGTTTGAAGACTAGATAGCGACATCAAAAGATCATCATTACATTAGGCCTTTACGAACCATCTCTTGTGTAGATGCAGAGAGTGAATCTGAAGCTGAGTGTGTTTAGATCACGGTATACATTTGTTGTGGTTCTGTGTTAAAGTAAACCTCGAGTTTGTATTTCGTGCGACATGTCCCTCGAGTTGAGGCAGTCTGCCCAACTTTCACATGATGCATGCAAGCACTGTACACGAGCTAGGCTATCGACATCTATGACATACTCCTACTCGCTATACTGATCATCTATTGACTACTTAGGTACTGATGCTACCATGTCTTTGTCTGATGACAGCAGGGTCATACGTCGGAGCACTGATTGCTGCAACGTCTAAATGTCAAGACAGATAGAATGCACAGGCAGGCCTAGTCTTGCATAGCGAGGCAGCTTTGACGTCAAACGTGTGGGGCATTTTGCAGCATGGTGCCTCGGCTGTTTGTTTATCGCAGTTACCTCAGCAACGCGGCCACGCGAGTCTCAGGATTCGCGCGCTACCTAAGTATCCATGAACGCCAACTTCACCCCGTCTTTACAACGAAATCGCCCGCCCACCTTCCGGATGAATGCGCAACTAACCCTTAGCTAACGATCGCTATCCACGTAACCCGACGAGCACATCGAAAGCAACGCGCTTGCCGAATCTCGACGCGACAATCGAATGGCTACACTTTCTCCCACGCCCTCCTATGGGCGCATGCGTGCGCATTCCTCGATACGACCCAGGAGAGACTCTCCGCTATCCGTACTGGGGCAGTCGCAGGGCTTCTCAGCGGATGCGCCCATGATGCAGAACATCAACATTGGCGACAGCTCCGATGACGAGATACCACAACCAATGAAGCTCAGCGCTTTGACGACGGCACTTCTTGCGCAAGGCAGTGACGTCGATTCGCCTGAGAAGAGGAAACCCAAGCTGAAGATATCGCGCAATGCTTCTGGCTCCAACACGCCAGTGCAGGATACCGTCACACCTGCACCAAGTTTGCGAATAAAGCGAGTGCCACTGCGAGGTGCGCCGATGAGACGGTTTCGAAGGACGCCTCTGAGCGAGGAGGAACATCATCCCTCTCAGGACCAAGAGAACATGCCCATCTCCGCAGTCAAGTCGCAGCCTGAGAACGTCCCCGATTCCGTCTTGAAAGTTACTGGTTCCGTCATGAAGGTTGCAGAGGATCGCCATATGCAACCGCAGCCAGAGCACCAGTCACCGATACAACGATCTTCGCAGCAACAAGAAAAGCAGATGCCGCTCCAGGCGCTGAGTGCGAACACTCCACGACGACCAGCACCTCCGCCACCGCCGAAGATGTCAGTGTTGGAGACAGCGACTACTGCTGCCGGAGCAGCCACAACGAAGACGAGAGAAAGAAAGAAGAGGAGCACACTATCGGTCAATGGAAAGCATTACTCGCAAATGGACAGGATCGGAAGAGGAGGCAGTTCAGCCGTGTACCGCGTCATGGCAGAGAATTTCAAGCTTTTGGCGCTGAAAAGAGTCAAGCTTGAGGATGCAGACGAGGCCACTGTACGGGGCTTCAAGGGCGAGATCGACCTCCTACAGAAGCTGAAGAACGTTGACCGCGTTGTGCGACTATACGATTGGGAGGTCGATGAGCAACGTCAAGTGCTGAGTGTGGTACGTGTATCTTGAAACAAGGCAAAGTTCTATGCTAACATGCACCAGCTCATGGAACTCGGAGAATCTGACCTCGCCCGTATAATACGAATGAAGCTCGATCCCGCCGACGGAGACGGCAAACTAGACCTAAGCTTCACACGCTACTACTGGAAAGAAATGCTCGAATGCGTCGGCGCAGTCCACGACCACGACATTGTTCACTCTGACCTGAAACCCGCAAACTTCCTGCTCACCTCTGGCCGCTTAAAGCTCATCGACTTCGGCATTGCCAACGCCATCGAAGTCGACCACACCGTAAACGTGCACCGCGACTCGCACATCGGTACCCCAAACTACATGTCACCTGAGTCGCTGGAAGACTCAGCCGGCGGCGCCCGAGGCCTGCTCTCCAACGGCAACGGCTCCAAGGACATGGCCCTCGGTAAACCCTCAGACGTCTGGAGTCTAGGCTGCATCCTCTACCAGATGGTCTACGGCCGCCCTCCCTTCGCACACATCACCAATCAAATGGCGCGCGTCCTCGCCATTGTAAACCGCGACTACAAGATCGAAATCCCCGACCTCGGTGTCGGCGATGTCCGCGTCCCTCCCGGCCTCAAAGCTACGCTCCGTCGCTGCTTGCAACGCGATGCCTCACGCCGACCAAACGTAGCCCAACTTCTCGACGAGCGAGACCCTTTCCTCTACCCCGACGGCGGAGAGGACCTGAGAATACCACAGGAGTTGCTCGGCCAGATAATCCAACGAGTCGCAGATCGGTTTAGAGATCCGAATAAGAGCCCGCCTACCGACGATGAGATTCGTCAGTATCCAGCGAGTTTCTACGAGAAGATTAGACAGTTGCTGGAAAGCGATTGATCTTTGTCTTTCTTCTCTTTGTTGTACTCTTTGTCTATTCTTGGTGCTCCGTTTGCGGACACTGGCATGTACATACACGCCTTGTTTTCTTTGTCTCTTTTCCCATCATCATCATGACGACTTGGCGCTGGGGTTCCTTTGCTTATCTCCATCTTGGGCTGTTTGTTCTTGCTGCTGTCAGCTACTACATTCTTGGTACCCACTTCTGTTCGCGCGGTATCACCGCCTTTTGAGCGTTGAAGCGTCGCCTTCCTTGTCAGGGTGTTCTATTTGTTTGGAAAAGGCGCATTGTCTCTTGCTTTGGATGAACTCATGAATGGCGGTCTCACTCTAGTCGCATACGGTTTCCTTGGTTCGTTGTATATACCCGTGTTCGAGAGTTGGGGAAATCGATTCTTTTAATCGTTCATTGGATGACTTCTTGCTGCTTGTGATATCGTGTGATGATTCATGTGTACTGCAAGAACAAGACGGCAGACGTTGGGCGGACTGAGATGGTTTGCCTGTTCGCGTCTGGTGACTTCGCCCTTACGAGGATCTCAGGATCGTACTTCGATGACACAAGTTCAATTATTCTAGGCAGATTGCTTGCCTACAACAGCGTGCTGTTATGAAAGAATTGGACAAAGTACAGAATTCCCCATGGAAGCGATTAAAGACAACCCATTCCTTGAACAGGTCCTAGTATGAGCAATAATTGAAGTTGGGAATATCCGCTATGGAGCCATAAATCCTGCATCCCAGCCTAAAGATAACGCCATGTAAATGCTCCGTGTCCAGTGAGAACGCCAAAGCGATGCTACATATAATAAACACCGCTACCCAATGTTCATGACCAGCCCTTCATAGAAAGCGCAGAATCTAGGAGACGTATGATCACTCATCAGCCTCCTCATTAAGCTGCTTACGCTTGATTGCAAGATCCGCCTTCTGCTTGTCGATCTGAGTTTGTGCGCGCTTCTTGAAGAGGAAGTTGGTGTGTCTGTCGCGTGCTTCTGTGCTTTGAACAATAGCTCTCTCCAACTCTGCGATTTCGCCCCGAAGTTGCTCTTGACGCTGTTCCTCTGCTGCGGCGGCTTCGTCCACCTCATCGACGTCCTCATCGGAATCTTCGTCGTCGTCATCGTCATCGTCGTCTGCAGACGTTGCGGCTCCGGGTGTAGAGGCTGCCGTCTCGGTTTCGACAACCACGTTTCCGTTCTGGCTGAGAGCGTGCATGGCGACGTCGTGAGCGGTGGTTGGCGTGTCGGCTTGTTCGACTTGCACGTTGTCGTTGTTTGCGAGTAAGGCCTTCAGTTGGTCGTTGTCGCCCTGGAACTCGACCTCGTCGTCCATGAGTCCTTCGGCAAGCATCTGCTCCAGTTGATCGGCATCCATTTCCTCCACTTGGGTAGCGTCTGCCATCTCCTCATCGTCGACCTCTTCCTCAGAACTTGACTCCTCTGAGCTCTCGGCCTCACTGTCTACCATCTCATATTTGGTTGATTCAGCAAGCTCGTCAGCTTCCAGTAGTCGGTGTAATGATGCTTCGGCGCGTTCAACGTCGATGTAGGATTTGCGAGGGCGGAAGCGTCGCTTACGGGCCCACTTCATAGGTGGCGTCAGACCGTGGGGAAACCGGTGCGTGTCTGGGGAGATGTAGGATGGAAGCGGATACTTCTTCGCTTCCTCTTCATTCTTAACTTCGTCCAGGACGAGCAGCATCTGGCAGACGTCTGCGGTCTTGACCCAGTCCTTCTTGTTCCAACTTTTCAGTGACTCTATAACTGCGGGCAGCTCGACCATAGTCGCAGCGTAGTGGCGGCCTTGTACAGTGAGCATAGCCCGACGGCCCTCGCGGTCAAAGAATCGGAAGTGTACGCCGGGCCCTCCCTGTGACACACTCTTGCCGATAGTCTTCTCTTCGATGGACTTGCGCAGTAAGTCGCAGTCTGGGCCAGGCTTCATGCGCAACACAAACTGAGATTCGATAGCCGGGTCAGGTTCCGCCTCTTCTGCCTCGCTGTCGTATCCGACACCATATGGTCTGACTGGCGGCTTTCCTGCGCCTTTGACCTTCAGAATGGCTGGTCTCGCCGAGGTCATGCTTCCCTTCGGTTTGATCGAGAGTTTGATAGATTGAGTGCGGTTGTGTGACTTGATAGGCTGGGGCGGAGGTTGTTGGACCGCGGCGTAATCGTCGTCGTCGTCGCCGCTGTCGTTGGCCATGGCGAGGCTCTTCGCGGTGGGTTTCGGCTTGCGCTTCGCGGCAGGTGAGTCGACATCGTCGCCGTCTTCGCGTGCCCTCTTCTTGGGTCCAGGCTTTCCCGGGGGAATAACGTTGCCGCTTTCATCGAGTTTGGGCTTCTTGGTGTACTTGCGCTTGACTTTGGCACCTTCGCCGTTCTGGCCATCGGCAGGCTCACCAGCCGCGGGTCCTGAGGGTTTGAACTTGATTTTGAGGCCTCCTGGCTTCGCGGAAACGGGTGTAGGCGCGTCGGCCGGGGGAGGTGCGGCGGGCGGCGCATCGCCAGAAGGCGCATTTAGGTTCTTGAGTTTGAGTTTCATCTTGGGCGGCGGTACGGGGAGTTTCGTTGTTCAGGACGGAGATATGGGACTGCGCGCCTGGGTACGCGACATTTGCGAGGGCGCGCGGTGGTGTTGAAGCTGGGGTAGGTGAGTCGGAAGCGTTGGCATTCCACGGGCGGCGGCCTTGGCGTTCACCGCAGTGAAGGGCCAAAGCTTTCCAGTCGCGTACCTTCACTTTCCTTACACTCGCTGCGCCGGACAGTCCCACCATGCGCCTGCTGTTCCCGCCCTAACAGCACCACACCACAGCGGACCTTGGCATCTTCCATCGCCCACGCCATCGCCAGCATGTCCCAGAACGACCTCTTCCTCAACCTGCTGCGGCCCGCCGTCCTCCACATTCTACGCGCCACGGGCTTCCAGCATGGCAAACCCTCGGCCGTCGACACCATCGTAGACCTCACGGCACGCTACCTATCGCTGCTGGCAGAGCGCACAGCCTACAATGCCTTTTCCAACCACAACGACCTCACACCGGACATTAGCGATGTGCGCATGGCAATGCAGGACTGCGCCCTTCTCGTGCCCACCATGACAGCCGGAGAAGAACTTTGGAAGGAGATATTGCGCAAACCGCTTGATGAGTACAACGAGGAGACGGGCGCCCGCGAGAACGAGGCAGCCCGCCGCGACGCCGAGGACACGGCAGACGTGACTGAATTCATTGAATGGGTCAAAGGCGACCAGAACAAGGAGATTCGGCGCATAGCGGGCATCTACAAGCCAGTTGCGACGAATCCGACGGAGCAGCTTGATCAGGAGGAAATGGAGGATTATCTGAACAGTATGTCCGATTGCCCTTCAACACACCTGTATACTTACTAACTGCTCCCTAGCTCTCATGAAGAAGCACAGCAAGACCGGCGTCGAATCACGTTTTCAAGGCACCGTTCTGGGTGTCCCAGCCGAACCAAAGACCATCAAAATCGAGGGAGGAGGTGCCGAATCGATAGAAGAGTGGTGTCGCAGAACCCGTGAAAGAGCCGCCAAAGCAGCTGAATCGAAACGAGAGAGCCGCGAAACTACAAACACCGTCGAAACAAGGGAGCCCTCGGCAGACGTGGAAATGGAAACGGAGTGATATTTGGCTGTTCATCTTAGAAGCATAGCGAAGGCGTTTGGTCACGGATCATCTTTAAGGCGTTCAGGGATAGCTAGGTTATGGGCTGGTCGGCTTTGTAGCCCACAGGGTTACTCCATGGGTTTGTTGGGAGTTCGAGCTCGCGCGCTCATCATGCCACACCTGTAGGGGTTTCAGTGCGTATACCTCTATCATACATTAGGCGATAGGAGGTTGTGGCGACGGTATGATATTTATTTCTACAATCAGCAGCATAACACTAGTTGAGTAAGGTCGTCCGAGGCGTGCTTTATTAGCAAGCACGCTGTCTGTTCAAGAGAAGTACTGAACCCGTCATCTACTATATCAGCAAGTAACAAACAACACTACATGTACTATGTACGTATGTATAACCCAAAAGTCTACATTAGTGCACCGTTCTTCACCTCACTACGTTGATTATATTGTAGGCGGCAGCGCAGACGAAGACCTGCGTGTATCTATGTGGTTTCTCGTTGCACGGTCGCATGCAAGTTTTGGGATCGATCTCGCACTTAGTCCTCCCGCCATCGTGCCGCGCCGATACCAATAACTACGAGACAAGACTAAAACGCGGCTCAGACGTTTGTTTTCCACGTCCTCACATGACAACGGCGCGCATTGGTGGGGCGGGAATGAATGACGGGCCCACCCCGCAGACGTCATAGCAGTGGCAGATAGCCAAAACAATATCCTCGACAGCTCCAGCCTGATTTCCCATATACAAACCCAATCCACATAATTTTCAACCTCACATACTCTGTACATCAAAATCCTCACCTGTCAATTGATATTTTACCTACCCAAACCACAACCACATTTACCAACATCAACCATGTCCGGTCTCGATCCCCAGGGCCCCTCGCAGCCCTCTCTAGACCAAGCCTACACCACACCCGGCAACCCAGCGCAAAAAGACCCAAAAGAGCAAGTCCAAACAGAGTTCAACGCCACCGACAACGCCGCTACCGTCGACCAACGTATCCCCACCAAGCAAGCTACCGACGCCGAGGGCCTACGGAACGCAAAGTTCGAGGAAGGCATGGGAGTCCACGGCGCACCAGCGGGCGAAGAGAGCAAAGGTCTGACCCATGAAGACGTAGGAAGGCACAAGGAGCTGGACGGGCAACAAATGGCTGCGCCGGGCGAGGGACGTGTAGCCGATGCGGTGGCTCAGGGAGGGAAGGGCCTGGGTGGTGGTGGAGAGCAGCCTGACTTGGCGAGCGATCTGGACAGGTGAGTGTTGGGTACTATGACAGTGGGTTGGACGTGTGCTAACAATCGAACAGGAAGAAGGCTGAACAAGCCGAGGCGAGAGAGGCTATTAAGCAGTCAAAGGGCGAGGCAACACAGGTTGGTGGTGCATTGGGCCAGACTGGTGGACCTGCCAACCCTGTTGATAACTCGACACAGGGTGGTGGTAACTACCCCAACTCTAGTTACTAGGTCTTTTTGGTCTAGAGGCGGAGTAGAAGACGATGTCTTAATTTGTGTGGGTTTCGGAAGTGAGCTGGCTAGTACACCTGTATGCTTGAGACAGAGCAGGAGTAATGCACACGATTTGCCATCATATCAATGTTCACCATCAGTCATACCACCCGTTGGTTTTGGAAGTGAACAAAAGTACACGAAGCCTTGTTGTTTCTAACCTACAACAACATATGCGATTTACTGACAGGCATCTTGGCAACAGACAGTACAACTTACCAAGCTGGGTGAATACGTCGTCAGGACTGTATCCGGGGTAGACACGCGAGCGTCATATCTACTTACTGTTGATGGATATCGAAGACAAGGACTCGAAGATGAGTTATGAAGGAAAGGATACAACCTAACATCACACCAACGCAGACAAGTTTATTTTGATTACTGTATTTTTCTTTCTTTGAAGCCCGGTAGCAATAGCTACACGAGCATTAACGTTATGCGACAGTAACATCGGTACGTTATGTGAGCGCCCCAAGGGACAGCGTCACTCTCTATAAAGCCCAGCAAATCGATACATCTCATACACGTCGACGAGCGTGAAAAGACGAAACCAAGAAAGCGCCAAGATGCAGACCTACCACAGCTGCTCCATAGGAAGTCAAACTGGTGGTCAATACATCGAACGCCAAAGATAAAAAAAAAGCAAACAGCGCAAACCCAACGTTATATACATCAGCGACTCAGAGAGCCAAGTGAAAGGGGGTGAGGGAGGAAGAGGGGAAAGATACATGGGCTCAAGGACCCATGTACGCGTCGAACTGGAAGTTACTCATGTCGGTCGGGACAGGGAGGTTGGGGTCGAAGAAGGTGTTGTTGTCAAACACCATGGGCTCATTCGCATGCATGTTCATACCGTAGTCCATGTATTGATTTGGGTCAATAGGGACCTGGTCCATCATGGGTACTTGCATGGGCATGGCCATGGGAAGCGGCTGTTGCGACGGAGGGTAGGCGGCAGCAGGAACAGCAGTGTTGTCGACTTCGTACGCAGAAGTGTCGAAGGTGTTGTCGATCTGTTCAGACGCGTCGTTGTCGGAAGCGCTTTCGGGCGACTGAGGGGTGGGCTTGTTATCGACCTCCACCTCTTTAATCCAATTTTGCTTGAGATACTCCATGGGAGGGTGGTCTCCGCCACCGATGCCACCACGCTTCTCGTCGTTCTTGCCCTTCCTGCCCCTCTTGCGGGGATGGAAGTGCGCACGGCGAAGGTGAGCGGCGGCGTTGTAGTACGCACCGTACACCTTCTTGTTACGGCAGTGCTTACAGTTGGCGAGGAACTTCTTGTCGGCTGAAGAGTCGACGCAGATGTAGCCCTTCCTGCGAGAGGCATGGGCGCGAGCAATGTGACGGTCAAGCTCATGTGTGCCACGGAACCCATCGGGTCGCTCGTTGCAAAAGTTACACTTGATCTTTGGGTGTTGAGGACGCACGTACGGTGTCTTTGACAGAACACCGACAGTCTTAGAGGATCCATCCTCAGACCTTATCCTTGTCATCTGAGCATTTGATGACGCAGACTGGGTCGCATCATTGTTGTCGATTGCCTTCGGGGCAATCTTGCGAGACGCAGCTTGCGCGTTGATCTCGCGTTCGCGTTGCGATTGACGAGAGTTGGTCGATGAAGGTGCAGAGACCTCGCTCGAGTAACCCTCGCTTGATGAAGCTGAAGTCGACCTCCGCATATCCTCCGCCAGGCACGACTGATCGTTGTCGGAAGAGGCAAGTGCATGTACACTTGCAGGAACAGATGAAGAAAGGAAAGCTTCACTGGAGGAGCCAGTGAAGTTGAGAAAATGAGAACCATCAGCGGACTCGCTGATGGGCTTTGATGCGACGTTAAAGGAATAAGGAAATGACCCATCCTCTGGGAGGATGGGCATACATGAAGAATTTGACTGATTACGCGACATGGAAATGTTGTCAAAAAACAGAGGGTTGTAACTACCCTGACGACTCATGTTACTAGATTGAGTAACAGGCGTCATCAGAGCGGTTGACGGTGTGCTGGGTGAAGAGGCGTCCGAAGACGAACTCCACTGCAAGCTGGGTGTCAGTTGCAACTGTTGTGAATGCTGGGGGGTGGGGAGGGAAGAAGAGTTGTCTGGCTGGATGCAGCTGCTGACGTAGTCGCCAACACTGTACTCAGCGATGCTGTTGTAAGCAGTCTCTGGCATCGACTGAAGAGTCGGCTGTCTTCGCATGGAAGTGTCAGAGTAGAGCGTGTAGTCGGTGTTGGACTCTTGGGACATTGAAGGCCAGTCAGAGTAGGTGGTGTTTGAGCGGTGTAGGTTGTCGGTCATGGCCGAATCTGAGCGGTTCATGACGGGAGCAGAACGAGTCCGGTCCATTTCTTCGAAGCCGGTTGTCTAGTGGGTGTTAGATCAGGGACGAGAAGACCAAAAATGTGTCCATACTGGGAGCTGGGTCATATTTGACGTGTTGAAGGCCATTGACCGTGGGACCTGGTGGGCCATGGAGGGTTGCGACGGTTGGCAGGCAGCCTGGAACCACGCGCGGTTTAGATCCTCCTCTGAGAGGTGTGCGTTGCTCATGCAGAAGTCGTGCTTGGCTTGTTCGAGGAAGGCGACGTAGGCATTACTACTACTACTGCTACTACTCGCAAGAGTCGAGGCCATGACGTCTGAGGGGTGGTGGGATGGGATGGTAAGAATAGTGGTAGCGGTGTAAGAAGCAAGCTGGGCGAAACGATGATCAGCAACAACGGCCAAAGAAGGGCTTGTCTGTGCAGGAAAATCTTACGGTGGTGGTAGATGGTGGTGGTGAAGAAGGAAGCAAATGGGGTAATGTCAGAATTGCGAGGCGATGAATAAGTGAGAATGCGGGTTGCGAAGGGGAAGATGTGCTTTTAGCACCACCTGGGTGCATGGGGGACGAGCGATGCGCTGGCTCGTGTCAGAGAGCGTCTGACGAATGCGGCCCGCGCTGAGCGGTGGACGAAGGGCCAAGGTGAGCTCAGAAGGGCTATCCTCGCTGGCGATCGATGCCATCCGTCTGACGTTTCATTGGGCAAAAAGGGGCGGACGCAATTTTCATTCGCTGCCTCACTTTTGGCACACGGAAGCCAACACCGTGGCCCTGGCCACTCGATCCTGGGGACTCCCCAGTGCTACCCTATCGTGAACCCACACTCGGTGAGGGACCACCAGGTTTCATGCGTCCATTCGCATTTGGCAAACTGTGCTGTCAGTGGCAGAGGCGTCACCCACACGTTTTTCCTCTGGCGCCGCGCCAATGTCCGTCTTATTCCCAAAGCGTCTACCGCACGGCTGAATCGCCAGCCATCAGTCGTCATCGCCCATGGGTACGCGAAATGCGGAAACGGCGGATCGCCATCAATTTTCTTCCTCGCGTTAGACATGTCAGCAAAACGAAGAGTCCAGGCTCAATGATCGTCTCCCATACTGGCAACCGCCAGCCCATGTGTCGTGAACTACCCGTTCAGGATGGCACCTCATCGCGATCACACCTTGGCAGAGCATCACCCCAGGTACCCAGGTACCCCGGCCTGAATCGTGGTACGCGGCTCATCTCCCTAAGGTTTGATTGATCCAATCTACACTATTGCTATCTTGGTCATGAACTTTCCATCTGCTGTCCGCGGCCTGCAGGGGACTTGAGAAAGGCTGCGCCAGGAAGGCCTGGTGATAGCAGTCCTCGCAGCCTGCTCCGCTTACGTTTTTCTGGTGGGTGCATAGAAACCACAGATGACGCGGACGAGAACGAGGACTTCAACCCGGGAGGACCTTGTGTGACACGGGGACCCATTGGCCCTACCTCCCTCACGCTTGATACGCTTGCCTTGCGGGCGACAAAGTCCTCCATCTCTTCATCCATGGCGTCGCTCATCTTTAGACTTTGTCGTAGCCAATACTGGTCCAAGGTGGCTTCAGTAACCTTTGCGACCACACCAAACTCCTCGAAAAAGATTACTATACTGTCCAGCCCTGCGGAATCCGATGTTCGCCTTCCTGGCGAGTCTAGTTTGGGGTCAAACGTAAATGGGTCAAGCGTTGCGACAGAATCTCTGCGAAGCTTAGCTGGATGCTCTGCCAGCATGATGGCCCCGGGTAGATAAACTCTCCGCCGTTCAGCCGCGTCAACATCTCCACGTTGGTGTTTGCGCTTTAGCGTATGGTGGGCTTCTACGTTTGGCCGTGCGGAGGAGGGCGAGTGGGTTGTATGAGCAATAGGTCTGACAGACCGGACTGACTTCCGACCCCACGAGCGAGATGAGCGTGGGCTACCTGAGGTTTCACTTGTCCCAAGCCGCTCTGGTGGTGTTGCGTAACATTCTCGTGGTGTTTCTAGCATCGAGCTGGGCGAGGTAGGTAATCTCTTCGACTCAAAGTCCGCTAAAGCAGTGTTCAGAGTGTTTAGCGTTCCAAGCTGCTTGTGTTTCACAGTCTCTTGCCCTCGTGATTTCTCGGGAAAGAAGCCGAGAGCACGCGTCGTACGATGAGGTGTCGCCTCGTTATCCTGGCATGATGGTGGTTTCGGCAATGCCTTGCGTGGTCCCAATCGCCCGTCCCTGGAGGCCTTCCTGGTATCCAAACAGTTCGCAACCCCCTCATCCGACTTCGGCTGCCTTTTCCTTATTGTGTTCGAGTAGCTCAACCTTACACTGATCGCTCGCCGTGGCTCCAGGGGTGGTGTAGCCTGTGCTTCAAAGCCGCCGGGAGGTGCTGTCTGGGACTTCTTCCTCAATCGTGGCCGATCTATCATGCTTTCATCATTGGCCCAGCTTTCTCTCCATAGTCTCTCCTCATCTCTGAGCGTCGGTGACGTTACTCTGATTGTTAGTCTTACTGGCGACTCTAATTGCGGCGGCGAAGGAGGTGATCTCGGTGGGGTTCGTAGTCGTAGAGCGGCTTCGTCGCCTTCTTCTGCCGCTTCGTCTTCGGATGAATAAGAGGAGGGTGAGAACATCAAATCCCAGAGCCCGTCGTACATGCTCATGCTGATGTCGCTCGTAGGGCGGCCTGCGAAGTTCGCAGACGGCAGCATCTCGACAGGCATGTCATAGTAATCTTCTGCAGAGTGTGCCATACTGCAACAATGATGATTAGAAGTGCAGAAGTGAACCAACAGATGCATATACACACACCTCGATGACGATAGCGTTGCTTAAAGGCTCCCTTTGTCTACACATGGCTGCACTGATCCTGCTGTTGCACAGACAGAGGCGGGAATGCATTCCGATATTTTGGAGGACAAAGAAAGGCAGCCGTTTGGGGCGAAGCGCGTACAAACACCTAGACAGGAAGTTCTCTATCCGCCAACATCAAGTCCGTAGCCCCGAACCCGATCAAAGCTGCTTACATTGGGGGTAGATTCCCGGGCCATAATCCTCTTTCAGCCCGAAATCGCCCCTTGCATATGCGCAGTCGCCGAGCCTCATCAACACAACCACCAACGCGATCCTCAATAACCGGAACATTTTCCACATGCACGCCGTCTATTTTCAGATGCCCTGCATACGCATGCGCTCATGGCATCTTCCTTGAACCGTGTGACGTTTCTTGAGGTATCGTTTATTCCAAGTGTGCTACGTTTGCTGTAATGCCCAGCCTTGAGTGGACATTCACGATACTGGAGAATTGCGAATAACTACGTTGCCTTGGAAGCCTGCTTGTACGTTGGGTTCTAGAGATCTTGCCCTGTACCTAGGTTGAGTACAATACGTTCGTCTAGGTAGATGTGTACATTCTCGCGTATAATTTTGTTTCATTAGAGTAAAAAACTGTACATACGTGATAGGACATAATTCTGCCATACTCTATTGTCAATTCCTCTTATCGAAGACCAAGTTACTTAACACAATGTACAGTATCCGAAGACTCCTTTGACCCGCGGGAGTCTGGCCTGGCGATTTTGGGCCCGCGCATAGCATATGTAAACATGAATTGGTAAATTGCCAGATCATTGATAACACTTAGCAGATCGTATGAGAATCAAGCGGCCTCATATACTCGGACAGTAAACCGCTATGTCGCTCAAAGGCACGAAAAAAAGGCGGTCGAAAAGATGTATTTCTACAAATCATTACATTTACTTATGTATTAATGCCAGTCTTTGACACGAGATGTGCTTTGCCATAGACATCCAGTTTTATCATCACGAAAGGAGCAATTTCCAGCTCACAACATGGGAGTCTCCTCCCTCTCGCCAATGACGTTGAGGAAAGCAGTGTGTACATGGCCAGTCAAGTCACTGGCTTGCAGCGACCTGCCCTTCTCCTTGAACGCCAGCTTCGAGCACTCCCTGGTGATGCATGATCCACCATACGCCGCAAGAGCAAGCGTCTCGCTCCTTGACATCTCAGTGCCAATGTCCCAGATCTTGTCGTGGTATGCTTTCCTGTACGCCAACAGGGTCGCCAGACTGCCAGTAAGAGTGTCACCTTGGCCACCAGAGCGCTTCAGACCACCCTCGCCCTCGGACACGAGTGTGTGCGAACCGTTGGAGATGTAGTCCTTGGCGCCCTTCTGAATGATGGTGACGCCGCCGAATGCCTTTGACAGCTTGGCGCATAGCTCTGAGGGATCGCCTTCGTCGACATTTACGCCCTTGGCCTTGGCTAGCCTTGCGAACTCGACAACGTTGGGAGTGAGAATGCATTCAGTGCAGCCATCCACGAGTTCCGGCCTTGTCTGAGCGAGGTAGAGGCCGTCGGCGTCCAGCACAAATGGGATGCCCTGTTTCCTTGCCTCCTGGATGACCTGTGCGCAGGTTTCTTGCATAAGTTCATCGCGACCAAGACCGGGACCAATGACGATGACGTGGAGACGTGATAGCATGGCTACTACTTCCGAGGTGATGCTGTCTGCGCTCTCGGACTTGGCGAGGTTCTTCGATTGGCGCATGTATGGATGTACCATGAGGTTGGGAGAGTACGTCTTGATTACCGCACCGGCGCCGGGTTCGCAAATTACATGGGACTGCAGCCAGGTGAGCACATTGTCGGACATGGGTTGATCTGGATGTTCCTACCATGTCGCAACCTAGCTTTGCGGATGCCATAGCAGAAAAGTAAGGCGCACCAGTGTAGTCTTCACTGCCACCAATGACAGCTACACGACCCAATTGGCCTGTTCGAATACATTAGAATCCACGTTGGGGGCTAGTATCATAGATCATTGCTTACCTTTGTGAAAGCTCTCGAGCATGGGCGGTACCATGTTGTAGACCTTCTTGAGCAGGTCTTTTCTAGTTGCGCTGGCCATCTTGGAATAGTGTTCAGGGTGTTGGTTGATGTATTGAGTGTTTGTACGACAAAAAGTATCGAGCCTCGATTGTTGTTAATGGCTGTGAGGAGCTTTGCGCGGCTATGGTTTTGTTATGGAGCTCAACGCGCGAAGAGTACGTCATAATGATAGCGGGGCATCATTGCTCCACGCGATGCGCGCGCGCCACACATTACCATGATACATGCGCGGAGAGAACAAAGATATGAAGAGTAGTCAGTATGATCACTGTCGGAAACAGCAGCGGCATGTTCAAGAGTTAATTCCAAGTATTATCAATTGCTAAGACAGTCTCTCACTCCGCTAAAGCTCACTAATCTCTGAGAACCTATGAAAGAAGACGCATGTCGCAAAGAATAAGCCCGCGTCTTCTCATCGGACCCCAATAATCCTGCTTGTTCAGCACTATATGTATATACACCGATGACCCCTGTCGTCCAAATACGAAAGCTGGTGCGCCAGCTGTAGAGATAGCCGAACGCGTTTTGTTAGGGCATGCTCATACCAACCATCGCAAGCCGTTGCGCTTCAGTATTGCAGTCAGGTTACTGCAGAAAGACGACCGCAACCGAGCCGAAGACGCCAGTTCCTTGCCCATTGCTCATGAGCGCGCCGCGTTTAGGTGGACGCATCATCCGTTGCCGCAACAGCTGTCTCAGATTCAGCTGTCGCCTTCTCGACGCCTTCTGCGCTCTTTTCAGCCTCTTCTTGCGCTGCAGGCGCATCCTTGATGACCTCTTTGTCGGCTTCCGACATTTGCACATCGCCATCCTCGTCAGCGGTCTTGGTGACGGCGGCATCGGTATTAGCATCGTCCTTCTTATCTTCCTCTGTGGTCTTCTCAGCAGACGGCGCCTCGTCTTTGGCAGACTCAGATTTCTCCCGATCTTCGCTCTTAACGCCGTTGGCAGCAGCAGCCTCAGGCTCAGACGCCAGAGCAGGGTTCCACTTGGAGAGAAGATCACTGGAGCGCTGCTTGAAGTGGTACGCGTCCTCCATCGGAATAGTTTCAAGCTTCTGAATTGCCCTCAGTACCTTGTGAACCTTGGTCTTCCTGATGACATCGGCCTCCAGATCCTCGTGAGCCTCAAGCTGCTTTAGGTACTCGTCCATGCTCGTCATGTCCTCGTCTTTTGGTTTCTGGTCGCGCGAGAGGAAGCCCTTTTGCAAGCGATGACGGAGGTAGAGAACTTGCTTCTCGCGCTTCACTAGTCGCTCCTCTTCAGTCATAGGAGCCTCCTCTGGTGTTTCAGGCGCAGCTTCTTCACTCGCTTTCTTCTTAGACTTGGGCTCCTTCTTGGGTTTCGCGGCCGATGCGGCCTTTGGTGTCTTGCCAGTCGTCAATTTAATCTTGGGAGTCTTTACAGCCTGTAAGTAAATTAGAGTGCGTAAATCGACGGGTATATGCGGTGCATACCTTCTCATTTTCGCCATCGCTCTGATCATCCTTCTTGCGCTTCTTGGTGGCCTTCGCCTTCTTTGCAGGGGCAGCATCGTCGCCAGCTTCTCCCATCTCAACGTCTTCTGAGTCGTCAGGGGCTGTGCTTTTACGCTTGGCTGACTTCTCAGCCTTCTCCTTCTTCTTTTGCTCCTTCTGCTCCACGTCTTCTTGCATCGCAGATTCGTGGGCAGCCAGCATCTCCTTGAAGTGTGCCAGATCGTGACCCTCAGCCGCGATTTGATACGCTTCCCAGAGCTGCTTGTTCTTCTTGCCTTGATTGCTAGACTCCACGTCCTTCTTCACCTCCTCGATGTCGAATGATAACAGCTCAGTGTTGACCTGCCATGCGAATTCGTTGGTGCCGAGGAACATGACCGGGTATCTCCGATCCTTAGCGTTTTTGCCGCCCTCGAGAAAGTCTTCGCGATATGTACCGTCAATGCGCTTAGCACTGACAGGACGTTTGCTAAGCAGCGACTCTGGGAGCATTTGTTCATCGCAAACAATGACTGGCCACGGCTGGTAACCCCGCATGGCGACCATGAACATGTCACCAGGCGAGACATTCAGACGCAGCTCAGGTGGCGGCTTCTTTCCCTTCTTAGCCGGTGTCTTCTTCTTGTGCTCGGGGACACCTGCGCCTGATTTGCGCTTGCCGTTGGCAGCCTTCTTCGGTGCTGGGGTGCCATTCGTTGCTGGCGCGTCGGAGGCAGGGGCGGCATCTGAGATAATGGGTTAGTACGCGATGGTAATACGCTGGTAGCCCGAGGCTCGGAATCAAGCATGGCTGGACTTACCTGCGTCGTCGCTGGCCGTGGTTGGCTCTGCCTGCGCGTCAGCAGTGACGTCTTCCTTCGCGGCATCGTCTTTTTGAGCAGCGTCGTCTTCGGGAACTAGTTCGCGATCGCGTTAGCTACTGCGCCCTGTAAATTTCACGAGCAGATGATTGGTTACCTTCGGCGACACCTGAGGTGGCTATGACACCGTCCTCAGCCGGCTTTGCCTCAGCGACAGCAGGCTCTGCAACAGCGTCTGAAGAACGCGTCGGCAGTTCAGCAGTGTTGGTGGTGTCCGCAGACACGGGTGGGTTGGCCTCGTCCGCCATTGTGCGAGTCGAGCTCACGCTTGTACGATGTCGTGTTGACGCGTAAGGGAGGCGCAGATTCGCGAATTACCTCGTCGATGTGTCGGGCGCGATGGCAGTGTCGCGTGATTGATGGTCGACCGGGTAGATCGATGGTGCGCGGTGGGTGAGGTGGTTGGGTCGTATTGTGGTGGTGTGGGGAGGGCAAGAAAGAAGAGATCGGAGACGCAACTCTTGAACTTTCCAGCGACGCCAGGCGCAGCACGTGACGTTCTTCGGCCTGCACGCACCACACGAGCTATCGCGTTCGAAAAAGTGCGAGGTAATTGAGAATCGTTCGTTTAGGCACCGGTGAAGTTTTGGTAATGTTGCAGCAAGTGTGGCGTGTTTGCTGCGTCGTGGGAGGTTTCGCGCGATGCGATGACTTGGGTCCGTGCAGGAGTACAGCCCTGAGAGCAGCCGCGCCTCCGGCCAAGCAAACCCACTGTTCTGATACTTGTGCACGAAGCTTGCTGATGATGCGAAAGTGACGGTTTTTCCACGTCGGCGCAGCTCTTTCGATTATGCCTTTCTCGCTTTGTTGAGCTATGGTGAGCGGTCGATCGGCTGTGACTGAGAAGCCGCCACTGACGAGCTAGACGAATCCCTCGAGGTAAGAGCGCAGGCCGATGGCAGCGACACTTGTTGAGGACCACCTTTCCCAGCTCTTTCTCGTTCTGTGAGGTCAGTGTGCTCGTCGCTAGAAGATGACACTCGTGTTGCGACGATGGTGAGATATGAGCGGCTAAGTTGCGAGGCACCAAGTGAGAACGCTGAGCTGCGGGGTTTTGGACGTGCTCAGGGTAGGCTTGTCAGGGTATTTTGCATTTCGGTTACTACTAGAACATCGTCAGCTTAAGTATTGTTGAATTTAGATAAAACAAAGAAACACTCACCGTAGTCTAGCCTGCACTTTACCAAAATTCCGGATCTTACCATCGAGACAAAGCCAACGACCCTGCCAGCTCCATTGTCCCCTATGCCTTCGCGACCTCTCTCCTGCGCGACAGCTCTAGCTGCGCAGTCAAAATTGGAAGTTTGGTACATCTGCCTTGATGAAGTACATCGCGACGTCTCTAAGGCCCTTCAGAAATACCTTGTAGTATGATAGATGAAATCAGTAAACCCCACCTCTAAGGACCGAATATCATGCTGTGTCAGTCCCATAATGAGTGAAGCCTTGTTGTTCCTCGGATCTACTTTTAGGGCATCATGAGCTCGTTAACCTGGCTGCGTACTTCAATACAGGCCGGTTCATACGTCACTGTATCCATGTACAGATCGCACGAGTTCCATCTCTTTACCAAATTCTCAGACGTGTCTTTCTCGAGTGAGTGAAGGCGTAATGAAAATGAAGATGCCCTGTACAGAATTGGAAAGTTAGAAGCAGTGGGACTCTGCGTACGATATGCAGGAAAGGTATGCATCGGAGAGGATCTGTAACCAACTCAAATACGGGATAAGAGCGCAATCATGAACGTGCTAACGATCAAAATCATGAGCCTCGACAGCGGTATTCGAAACCATACTGCGAGACCTAGAAATGACCATGCTCCTGTACTGTCTGGATCACCTCGTAGAACCAAGGGATGAACAAGGGATGCATATCTGTTACGCATGACAAATTTCCTAGAACAAGACACAGGGTCAGTAGTATCTTCAGTCAGGATTGAGAATGGTCCCTCCTAGGTGGAAGGCTTCCCCGGATTGTCATAGTCCGAGACGGGGGTGGCCCGCATCCGCGTGATTATCGATAAGCCTGCATCTGCCGTCTCTTGTGTAATGCCCACGGCGGTAACACGGTTGTATATCGCTTCCAGGTGTAGACCCATGCTTGACCATTGTCTGGTGGTCCGATATCGTGCAAATGCTGTGAAGCAAGATGGCTTGCTTTTTATCGCCTCGAGTAATTCAGTCGCCGGCAGCATTCATCTTTTGGACATATGCGAAGCAATGCCGAGAAACCCAATACGAAAATGTCCCCTGTTGCGGTATGCGATGATGATGATCATGATGGTTGTCGCGACCTCCGAACATAAAGCGCACCAACATGAGGCCTCGTCAAAGCGGCTTTCGCAGAGCCAAGGCACGGGGGCCAGCACCAGGCCAGCGTCGAGGCCCCAGCCATGCGGTCTCCATATCCATCAATGCCTTCGTCCGATGTGGTTACTAGTGCGATGTATGCGATTGTCGTTCGTCCGACCGGTTTACGTGGGCGATCGAGGGGCAGTGGTGCGCGGGTAGTGCCATCGTGTGGTCGTCGTGCGGTAAATAAATATTAAGAGTACAGAGCGGATATCCGGAATCTGCACATGAATGAAGCAAGACATGCACTTGCTCGCGGTGTGAGGGCGTTGATGGTGTTCGAAGCGGGCGGCTCCTACGAGCGAGACCTGTGGTTGTCGCTAGTGGACCGCCCATCACGTGTACTATTAAGCGCTGCAAAACCATGCGTGCCCTAAGAAGAGCCGCAGTCTGAAAGCCCAATCTGGTCAGGAAGACCAAGCCGACACGTGAAGGATGTAGCATGGAAAGCGCATTAGTCGGGACGATCAGACGGCAATGTCGAGGGTGCATTCAGGATACCTGCGGCCGTACCTGGGTAGGCTTACGCAGGTGCTTGCAGGCCGGCTAGAACGTCTGTCATACGTTCTGAAACACACAGGTACTGCAAAAGCCTTACCCGCTAGAGCCCGGTCCGCGCATGCTGCAATTACTAGCGCAAGGCAATCGACGACCCGGCGATCTGCATCCCTAGCTTTCCTCTGAAAGTTGCGTAACAAACATCCCCGCAATATCTTCCCACCAGAACAATGGCAGCTGAAGCGCCCACCGCCAATGGCACGTCTACCAGCGACTACCAAGCACTATGGGCGGACAAATACCGTGGTGTATGTATGCTCGATTACCCAGCATGCCAGGTCTAACGACCCGCAGGCGACCGTAGAAGACCTTGACCCCCCGCCTGCGCTGTCCATCCAGCCCTCGGACCCCATATCATGGGCGCTCATGTCCGGCCTTGAGCGCGACTACACACACCTCACAGTCATCTCGCAAACGAACCGCGCCCTACTCGGCTACATCAGCATCCCGCATCTCCAGCAACTCCTCAAAGAGGGTAAAGTCAAGGACAGCGACCCAGTTGAGGCTGCCATGCACAAGTTCCAACGTCGCGGCAGGCGATACAAGGTCATCACCACCGAGACGCCTCTGGAAGAGCTCGAGGAGTTCTTCGCCGGCGGGGTAGACGGAAGCGGAAAGCAGGAGTTTGCGGTAGTGACAGACGCGAGCAGGAAGTTCGTCCTGGGCGTGGCTACACGGGCGGATCTAGAGAACTTTGCGAAGAGGAGGGCATAAGCTGGCTTGGGATGCTCGGTGATGGGCAATGGAATAACATCGCAGGATGCATTGGCAGGCGTTTATCTGGTATACCCTATGGCAATGCTATGGAAGCTCAATTCAACACGGCTTGAAGGACAATGATCCTCAGAAAGTAGTCATCTACGACACAAGTAGTCTCTGGGCTGTTGCGAAAGCTAGATATACATATCGTTGCGCCGTACAGCTTAAGTTAGAAACTACAGAAAAACATGTACAAATCTAAGTAGTAGGGAAAGCGACACATGCTCTTTCAGAATATTATAAATACGTGTTTGCAGTACCCAGGCCTATCCGGCCATGCGACAGCGCCAGAGGTAGCGATGATCCCTAGCCTGTCTACCTGGGCACGCTGCACTAATACCTAAAAACGTGTACAAGACCATGTCCCGTAGATCATGTTTGTGCAACCTTACTCGACTATGTTAACTCTCCTTAATCTTTGCATGGCCGTTTCTCGCGTGAGGTGAACCTTCGACTCCCCCACACGTCATGGTAGACGGCAATACCACTTGCTGACTCATGTCCTCACATTCCCGATCCATGGTCGCCATGCGCAAACCGCATTCTCGGGTTCCCCACACACCGGAAGGTAGAGCGACGGCTCCGCATGGTTTTTTGGGTTGAACATTCCTGGACGCAAAAGTCCTCAACAGAACTTTTTCTTTCTCTGCATACTCCATCGCTGGCATGCTCGCACCTTCCTTTCGCATGCGCAGTAGACCCCTCCTCCAGCACCAACTATCACAAGCCTGGAGACTAGCACAACGAAAGTCGCCAGTAATCGTCTTCCCGCAGCGTTCGAGATGGTATTCTCAGCAAGCGTCCAAAGCGCAAACGGGCGCTGGCACGACTACGCCTGTTCCTGATAACGCTGAGCCGCCCAAGTCCAAGTTGCCTTTCTACTTCGAGGCTGGATATGCGCTCTTCGCAAAGAGGCCTTCGCGGCCGTTTCCTCCGCCTTTCCTGTCGCTGCCTTCGACGAGTTTCTCTGAGCCCCTGAGCACGCACAACAAGAGTCGTGATCGCCGACCGACAGTCAATGGGCAGATGATAAGAGGCGTCACAAATGGGGACGATGCGGTGCTAGTCAGTGAGAGCTTCATTGCGGCAAACGACGGTGTGGGCGCATGGGCAACAAGAGAAAAGGGTCATGCTGCGTAAGTCGCGTGCCGTATAGTCGCCTCAAGACGTACAAGTGCTAATTACACTCTGCAGTCTATGGTCCCGCCTAATCGCACATTTCTGGTCCCTCGAAATCGAGAGCGCATCCTACTCCTCCACCTCACCTCCAAACCCCGTCACATACCTCCAGACCGCATACGAACTCACAAAGCAAGCGACCTCCTCTCCCAACGAATGGCACGGCACGACCACCGCTTGCGGAGCACTCCTCGGTGCGGATAACGAGCAACCCGACCACCCCTTACTCTACGTAACGCAACTGGGCGATTCCCAGATCCTCGTCATACGGCCGAGCAGCAAGGAGGTCATATACAAAACGCAAGAGCAGTGGCACTGGTTCGATTGCCCGCGCCAGTTAGGGACTAATAGCCCAGACACTCCGGACAACAACGCAGCCATGGATTGTGTAGAAATCCAGGAGGAAGATGTCGTCCTGGCAATGTCGGATGGCGTGGTAGACAATTTGTGGGAACATGAAATCGTGGAAAACATCTGCGAGAGCATGGAGAAGTGGAACGGAGACAAGGAGAAAGACACAGAAGACCAGACTTATGCTGATGGCATGCAATTTGTAGCGCAGCAGCTAGTCAATGCTGCGAGAGAGATTGCTCAAGACCCGTTTGCCGAGAGTCCGTATATGGAGAAGGCGATTGATGAGGGCTTGTCTATTGAAGGAGGTTCGTACAGCTACCTACATGGGCGAGGTTCTCTGCTGACATCATTCTAGGAAAGCTTGACGACATTAGTGTCGTGGCTGCACAGTGCAAACGGCGCAAAGGATGAGGCCGCGAAACGAGGTTTTGATGACTGAACTTCCGCGAAAAGACTACAGACCTCATCACGCGCCGATGACCCCTGAAGGCACTAAGGTTCCGCTTGGAAGGCCACATGGCATGACCATGGAAAAGTGCCGGATCACAGGTCACACCTTGTACTTCCGCGAACGGCCCTGCACGCGTGCGTTACTTTGTCATAGCGTCGCAGCGCCACGCCGAAGCCCGAGACATATATCGCGCCGAGAAGCCCCATACTAGTATCTACGCGAAAGCCGCATATGCCATAGGAACGTAACCGACGTTATTTCTCATACCATAGAGGAGACTGCGAACTACATGGATTTCTACTGCGTTTTCTATCGCGGGTAGCTTATTCTGTATACTTGGCTTTTGCTACAACACTAGAGCCGCGAAGAACTATGCGATACACCGCATTGATGTTAGGGACGTAGTAGAAGGGGAATTGGAAATGAATGCTCAGGGTTGCGATATGTAAAACGGTCTAGAGTACAAATGACCATCGGAATATTAATGGGCGTAGTTGCAGTACAGACATTCTCTATCCATCCATGTCATCATGTTTTGAGGTCCTCCATGGCGCGTGGGCAAGGATATGATTCAAGCATCTGATGGAAAGCAGCGATTGAACATAGTCGCCTTTTCCTTTGCTTTTCAGATGTAAACGGCAGTGACTGGTATCGATCGTATGCTCTCTTCACTGGGCGACACCGCCAACAACGCTTCGCTTCTGCATAGGAAGAACGCGGTCCCGTTAAGCATGCCTTGCAGAGAGCGTGCTTATAGACAGCCTATGACTTGGGAGTACCTTCTCCACGAGCCGGTGATCCTGTGGGTGAGCGAGTGACACGACGTCTAGCCCTACCGGTTTTGCTGCGAGAACGTGACCTGCTAGAGCTAACGGATCGTTTACGCTTCTTGATGTCGGCACGAGAGCCGTTTGAATCAGCCCCAGATGAAGTAGAACGTCTGCGCCGCCGCGGTCGTGCAGGGCTTATAGACATAGAGCTCGATGGGGAGCGACGCCGGCGGCGGGGAGGAGTTCGTGATCGTGAACGTGATCGCAGCCTGGGTGCTGGTGAGCTCGACTTGTTTCTGATTGGCGGGGAACTAGATCGCGAAATGGGCCTGGGCGGCCTCCTGCTGTCCCGGCTTCGAGACCGGTCTCTCCTTCGTCTTGCGGGTGGAGACTTGCTACGGGAAGGAGACCGACGGCGCGTACGACGAGGAGGAGATCTTGAGCGGTCAGCTGACGGAGAACGCCGCGGTCGACGTCGTGGTGGTGGAGATCGAGAGGGTTCTGACGATGGTGAGCGACGTGTACGACGAGCTGGTGGAGATGCAGAACGACTGCCCGAAGGTGAGCGACGACGCTCGCGAGACCTGTCGCGACGGCCTCCACGCCCGCGACCACGACCTCCTCCAGGTATGTAAACATCGCGCTCGCGATTCGGTGGGGAGGGTCTTCGTCTCCTGTCACATGTCAGCAGTCTTGATTTCGAGCGTACAGGCCTAACACATACGGTGGTGATCTTGAGTCGCGATCGCGACGCGGAAGTCCTCTGTCAAAGTCTCTTCCACGTCCCCTACGATCACTACCACGGAATCGTCCTCCTCCTCCGCCACGGCCACGTTCAGGGCCACGCTCGGGTCGTTCCGGACGCTCGCTCTGACGGAACGAGTCAATCATAGCGTTCTGCGCCTGTTCTTCAGCACGGCGAGCATCGGCAGCGGCTTTGGAAAGCTATGAGTTGTCAGCGATGGTAAATGAGCAAGCCTCTGACCTAACTTACCTGCTCCTGTTGCAATTCGGCCTTCTTCGCTTCGAGCAATTCTCGGGGCACACCCATGGGACTATCCTGCGCACTCAGCATGAGATCCCATAGTTCTTTACAGAAAGGTGCGGTCTCCTTGTTGAGGAAGCCCGTGAGCTGAATCTGGATTTCCTTGATTTTGGGCTGCGTCCGTCAGCAAACATTCCGTTGTGTCAACTGGAGGGTTACTGACAAATTGATTCTGCTCAATGAGATTGTAGCACGTCTCGACCACAATGTCATCTTCGTCACCGAGGATAGTGGTGATCCTGTTAGCAATCCACTTCTTCATCAGATCGATGTTGACTTTCTCGATGTCGACCTTCTTGTCAAACTCGGGAGGGAACTTTGTCGCCTTGAGGCGCTTCTGATCGATGCTGAGCGCCATTTTGAGGACTTGAGATAGTGTGGAGTTGCAAGAAAAATGGGGTGACGCGTGTGCGGGAAGACGAGTTCGCGACAGTGAAAGCTGGAGCTCGGGCGGGCCCATCTGCGGGCTTGGCGGCAACCTCCGGGAATTACGTCGTTCATGCAGGTACGACCGACGCTAACGTTGTCGTCACCTGTCCCAACCCTCACCTGGGCACGCTTTCCCTGCCACATCTTGAACTCAGATACTGCAGACTGCGATTCGCGGCAAACACTTCATTGTTGCGAGCGTACCACATCATACAAGAAAGAAAAAGTCGAACAGGTCTAGAGCCTACATTGACGTTAAGTCACCTACTTTGCATGTTTTTATATTGATGTAGGCTCTACAGTGTTTGAGTTTCTCCGTGAATAAGGTGGTACGCTCGAAATAGAAGGCCTTGCTATTGTAGCCATGAGTCTACTGTACTCACCTTCGAACAACATCAAGGATTGAAGATGCAATACGTGCTGCATGTCTCGAGGTAGAGCGCAGACTGCATATCTATATAAGCTATTGCCAGCAGACAGTTGCACACTAGAAACGTAGTAAGTACATTTGTACAAACACAGGCCAAGGCTTAAAGAAGTAGGCGGGTCTCTAGGCGGCTCCCGCTCTCTCTGTTGTAGATGACAAATCGTCTGAATCTCCAGCCTCCCCTGCCATCTCGTCGAAGTCGGCAGCGTCGCGCTTCCAATCGCGCCCAGTCCAATACTTTCCATCGCGCCCACCCTCGGGGTAAGAGCTCCGGAAATAGTAGGACTCGCCAATCTCGACCAGCTCGATATCCGTGTCGAAAGCGATCATGCAGTGGCCGCGATCGCTAAACTCAGCAGTCCAAGTTGGGAAAGGCTGAACGCGTACTTGCTGTATTTACGCATCTCTTCCTGCCGTCACTCGATCAGGATGTTTGGGTCAAGGCTTCTCTTTCTGTTCCAGAGTCAAGCTATCTCGATCAAATAGGATGTGGCCACAACCATCCACTTACCTGGGCCAGCATACCATTTTCTCCCGCGTCCAATCTCACCGCTCAAATTGCTTCTCATAGTTCCTCCTTAGCATCTCTCGTCTATCATTAATTCCATCCGCACTTGTCATGGCGGGCCAAGCTGCGGCTTCGGACGTGCCTCTTGTGGAGCAACCCGAGAAGCATACCAAGCCCAAACGTCCTCACAAGCCTGCGAAGCCCGGACATCATGGCAGGCCCGTACCACCACTACCTGTCGAACCGCCCCCTAACCCATATCCTGAAGACACCGATACAGCTGCACCTGAGCCAGATGATGAGCCAGAACCGCCGGAACTTGATTTCAAACCTCCTCCCAATCCACCAGAGGAGGGCCCTGGTGAAGCTCAGACTGATGGACCCGCTGAAGAGGCACCTGAAGCTACCCCAGAAGAGCCTGCAGCTGAGCCTGAAGCTGAGCCTGAAGCTGAGCCTGAAGCTGAGCCTGAAGCTGAGCCTGAAGCTGCACCTACCCCGGATCAACCTCCCGCAGATCCTGCACCTGAGCCGGATACAGAACCTGAAGCTGCCCCCGAAGAACCAGCAGCAGACCCACCAGCTGAAGAGCCTGAAGCTGCAACCGAACCTCCCGAGCCTGTAGAGGAGCCCCCTGAAGAAAAGCCGTCTGAACCTGCCGCTGAACCAACACCTGACGCCGCGCCAGAAGAGCCAGCAGCACAGCCTCCAGTTGAAGAGCCCGAAGCTTCTCCTGCACCAGTTCAGCGTTCGGCAGATCCTGCACCTGAACCTGTCCCCGAGGAGCCGACAACAGAGCCACCAGCTGCAGAGCCCAAAGTTGAAACACCCGAGGAGGCTACATCACCAGAACCTGAGCCGGAAGCAGAGCCAACGTTGCAGGTGCCTGCTACAGAGCCCGTTGAGACAGCACCTGTAGAGCCTTCACCACCAGCTGCCGACCCTGAACCTACGCCAGCGCCTGTCGAGAGTGCAGCCGAACCAGATGCACCATCTGAACCAGTTCCAGATGCACCAACAGAACCTCCACCTGCACCACCTGTCGCGGAAGAGCCCGAGGCAGCACCGACGGCTGAACCTGAGGTCGCACCGGTGTCTAGGGCAGTAGAGCCAGAAGCACCAGCAGAAGCAGCACCCGAACCGGAAGCAGCACCTGCATATACTGCCGCAGAGACCGAAGACCTGCCTCCTCAGCCTCCAGAAGCGCCAGCGCCGGAACCGGCACCGTCTGTAGCTGAAACAGAAGCACCAGCCCCTTCCGTAGCCACTACTGCCACGTGAGTACACTAACTCCCCCTCCGATATCGCTATACTACACTACCCTTATTTTCATACTAACATCCACCAGCAAAACCCGCAAACGCGACAAAGTCAAGCTTCTCGCAGCAATGCGCGCACCGCCCGAGTCCGTCCCTATAATGGTGCTTCTTCGCCAGAAGAAGAAGGCTGGTGAGGACGTCAAGGCCATTGCAGATGCCATGCTCGCGGCTGCGGGATCTTGAAGTGAATTGGAAGATTGGTATTTGGATCGTGGTGGTGAACTTCAAGTCTCCCTAAGAATTCCCTCTACCTGGCTTTGACTACCTACCCCTATGTAGATGCTACTCGTAGCTCAATTTCATCATTACCCTTGTCTTTATTCACGTGTAACGCCTCCTCTCTGCTTCATACCGTACATGATAAAGGTCGAACTTCTCGTAGCACGCTCTTCTTTACCTACTACAACACGTGTAAGAAGGTTGCTGTGTTGATACAAATGTAGCCCAGACGGCTACAATTCCCTGGAGCCCTCCGCAAAGTCTTTTCATCTATCGATGTAGACTGCAGTACACGAAATGCACCTGGTGTCTCCTGTTCAGATTCTGTCTTGTATACCGCAACTCCACGCAAGAAGTTACTACTGACATGAAGCGACGTGCATGTAGACACAACAATGTCTCCCTCCGCATTGACGTTCCCATCCATTCCGTCTCCTCAATACCCACCGTGCAAGCTCTGCTGTTGAGCATGACCCCAGACAGGGCTCGCCCTTGACCTTCGCCGCAGAGTCCCCGCTTCTCGCGCTGGGCTTCTCCCAGCACTTCTCCATGCTCCCACTCATAGTATTGTAGTTCCATCCTCAACCCCAACCCTCTTCACCCCCCAACAGCCTTCCTAACCAAACTCCTCGCTTCCTCCAGGCCCCTGCCCAACTCTCCCCTCTTATGCGCCTCCTTGACCTCGTAGTGGAATTTTAGCAGGTCTTTTGCGCGCTTCAGTTCTGGGTCTTGCTCATCGTCCACTGTTGTTGATGACATTTGGTTCGTCGTGGTCTTTGCGGCGGCATCGTGAGAAGATGGGGGTGATGTGGAGGTAGAGGTATTCGAGTGCGCGGATACGAGGGCGAGTGCTGCGGCGGGGTCCTATAGTCGATTTCGTGTTAGAAAGGGTATACGTGTGTTGGTGTAGGAAGGGCAACGTACACAGACGCGCAGGGAGACGAGGTCAGATAGTATTTCCGCAAGTTGCATTGTGTTTCCTTGGGTTTGCGCCATATCTGCTATTGCTGACGAGAAATCCGAGGCCTGTTTGCTCGTGTGTGGTAACAGCTGTGTAATGCAGCGTGGGAAAGTGCTGAAAGTTTGGTCGCGTTGCGATGCGAGCGCAAGTGGGATGCATGGCCTGGAAGCTCTGACGTTCACCCCACATCTCGGTTCCCAACTTCCCATGGCGGGCAGGGGCCCAGATCAAAACTCCCCCCGTCAATTGCCGGCTAAGTAGTTTGCCGAAGACGGTGTGCGACTTTTGCTTTCAGTCATCTCCGCGTGATTTTGGGTCATTGTCTTGAATACGTTCGTTGGTTATCATTATGGCGAGTATCCAAGCTATCAGGGCAAACTGCCGCAAGGTACGTGATTTCGTGTCATGTTCGCGCTATCAACGGATTAAGAGAAGAAGAAAGGGCTGGGAAGTCGCGTTAAAGTGAGGGCTGCAGTTGTAGAGTTGCTCGCTTGTCATCCTATGTGAAGACATGTGCCGTCCCTCTGGCATACGTGTTGTGAAGGTCGAGCCTGGTAACCTTGGAAGGAAGACGTTTAGCAAAGACGCTCTTCGTGCAATCTGACATGTTACAGGTCATGTGCATAGGCCGAAACTATGCAGACCACATCAAGGAGTTGTCGAGTGCTACGCCTAAGCAGCCCTTCTTCTTTCTGAAGCCACCGTCGTCTATCTTGCTGCCAGGCGCTGGCCCAGTACTACGCCCACGTGGTGTAAACATGCACTATGAAGTTGAGCTTGGTCTCATCATGGGGAAGACATTGCGGGATTTGCATCCTGAAGATACGAAGGGTGCTATGGATGCTATCGAAGGTACATAAAACGCCATACATCCAGCCAGATATAACAGTATATCGAGATCCATCCGACTAACATTCACGACCCAGGCTACATTCTCGCCATCGATATGACAGCTCGCAACGTGCAGGACGAGGCGAAAAGAAAAGGACTCCCATGGTCTATCGCAAAAGGCTTCGACACGTTCATGCCCATCAGCAACTTCATCGCGAAAAACAGAATCCCAGACCCACAGAAAGCACACCTTTGGCTCTCAGTCAACAACGAGATGAAGCAGTCTGACAACACTGAGCTGATGCTTTTCCGAATCCCAAGACAGCTGAGCGATATTAGCAGGGTCATGACACTGGAGAAGGGCGACATCGTACTTACGGGAACCCCGAAGGGTGTAGGCCCAGTGAAGACGGGCGACGTTATGCGTGCAGGGCTGAAGGTCGATGGAAAAGATATCGAAGAGGCAAGTTTGGAGGTGCGAGTTGCGGATCGCGAGGGCTTGTACGAGTTCAGCGAGACATAGTGTCAGTTCCCTAATCGAGGGCAATCAATGAGGCTCGTTTGCTTCCGATGGATACCAAAAATCATCGAGTTCCGATACCTCTTGTTTCGTCCTAACAGGATTTTTCCTAGTTCCAGACCCAACAGCTAGCTCAACTCGGTTGCCCGTATTGCGCGAGCTCGAAGGCTTAGGGATGGCCTTCAAACGTGACAGTGGCGCTGCTGCTGCTTTGCGAGGTGACTTCTTAGCTCTGTCTGCCACGGTGGTATGCATATCATCGCTCTCGCTACGTCCCATCCCTCTCGCTTTCTGCGGACTGCGTAGTATAACAACGAGTGACTTTTGCTGCTCCTCATTTACAGCGCTCGGTCGAACTGGCGAGGGATTCCTCCTCTTGGCAGCTGAAGTGGCAGCGTTAGGTATGTTCGACTTGGCAAGACTTCTCGTGACCAACTGAGTGGGTTCAATCGCCGTGTTTCTGCTTTGATTTACAGCAACATTGCGCTTTGTGGTTGCCGGAGCTCTGCCGGAGGGCCGAATCGCTGTACTGGATCTGGCCTTGCTATTGTCTGGTCCTTGATCCTGGGCAGTCTTTTGCTTCTTGCGCGATGAAAGAGCTGGCTCGACCAACTGTGTTGGTGGGAGGAGTGATTCGCTACCTGTTACGTGCGGCTTTCGCTCTTCAGCATCCTGTTCTTGCATCCTCTTAGCTTGAGCACGAGTCAGCCTTTGAGTGTGGGGCTCCTTTGTAGGCTGCTTTCGCTTCCGTGTGATGGTTTTGTCGGCCAGTTGTGTTGGAGGCGGGGCGACTCTGGCACGTGGGCGAGGCTTTCGTGTAGGCACCGGCACTGGGGCTGGGGCTGGGACCGGAGCCGGGGCCGAAGGATGAGTCGGGCGGTTGTGATGGACCAGCTGTGTTGCAACGGGAGCAGCGTATACTGGTTGAACAGGCCTTGGAACAGGTGTTCGGACTTGTCTCTGTTCATCTGCCAGATGTGGTAACATAGAGTTGTGGATCGAAGGTCTCTGCATCAATCTTTGTCTTGCTGACTTCACTGGATGACCTGGAGGTACAGTTGAAGTAGACGTATCGACTGGTCCCCTGAAATAGTCGTTAGCGTTACAAAAGGTCATTACCAAGGCCGCTCTTACCTATGTCTCATCTCTGGACTCCGGGGTACTTGAATCTCTTCACGTACAAAACCCGGCATGAGTATCAGGTCTTCATCGTCCGTGTCACTTGTTACTTCTGAAGTTCCGGCGTTGAGTAATTGAGACGGTGGAATGGATCTTAGCATGCCATGCTGAGGCTTAGAAACGGTCTGTGGGCCAGCGGTGTTGGACTTGGACTTGGGATCCTGCCGCGTAGATTTGAGCCGGGTGACTTCTTGCTCTAAACTCTCGATCCGACGCGCGTCTTGATTACGACCAGCTTCGAGAAGATCAAGACGTCGAAGAACACCCTTCAGTTCCCTGGGGACCTGTTTGAGCTTGTCGAGACCGTCCACAGCATGAGACAAAACATTGTCCAGCTCGATCTGCTTCTGCCTGACGTGCTTGTTCGTGTCGACGAATATGCCCAGGCGCGTCATCTCGCCTGCTGCCCACTTCTCGAAAGCCTTGTCGTCATCTTCAGCTTCGATCGCTGCGAGTTGTTGCTCCAAGTGGCGGACCCTGGACGTGGCAGCTTCGGCAGCCTCTGCAACGTGTTCGGTAGATCTGATGCGGGCTTCGTATTCTTCATGATGCTGCTGAAGCGTTCGCATCTCCGTGAGCAGATGGACGTGCTGTTGTTTCATTTCTGGCCCCCATAGCAGTGCCTCCGCCGATGCGAACGGCATACGTGAGTCGACATCTGTCGCCGAACTAGGTCTTCTGGGACCCATTGCGAGGGGATGCGGATCAGTGACGACAATGCGTTAGCTAGTACGATGTGGTGATGAGGTAAGGTGATGTTGCTGGCGAGGCTAGATAGAAAACGCTGACCGCTACATGAGAGGTGAAGAGAATGACTGGCTGTGTGCGCCGTAAGATGAGAGGCGATATTCGCGACGCGATGGTGGGTCCAGACGAGAGGAGCAGGCACGAGGTTGGGTGTGGCTTCCTCGGTCGAGCAGCTTCACCGAGCTGGCACATCTCCGCCACCCCATCCAAGGGACAGATTGAACACCACCTATAGACGCCAATAGAAGTAAATAACCTGGAAGTCTGCGTTAAGTTAGTAGTTTGCTGACTTTCGTTCTGATACCAGTGTAGATTGCAGCGCACCTGCAAAGGTTCCTTTTGAACGTGGTGCGGCAACACACTTACCGCAAAGCCTTAACGAAGACCAGATCAAAGAATAAGTAGTGAAGTAAACTCTTTCTTATTTCATGCTACCTACTGGGTACCCCCCACTTCCACTCAATCAGATTAAGCAGTACGCTTCGGTCCTTTCGGCGCATCTATTACATCATCTCTCTTCATGATGCGAATCTTCGTGTCTTTCTTTGCGCTATCTCCATCCGATTCAGATTCCTTTGGCCGTTCCGCCACACTCTTGTCGTAGCTACTCGGGTCGATACCAAGAATGCCACCTACATTGTTGCGGTCACCGGGGACAGAGAATTCGCGGAAGGCGTAGCGCCATTCATTTAGGAAGCCGCGAATGGCCTTGCCAACTTTGTCCTTGCCGTTCTTGGAGTGGTGACCCGTTCCTGTAATAGCGTAGACTGGACGCGAAGAAGAGCTGTGCTTTAACAGGATGCCTTCGAGATACGAAACCGACTCATCTGGATGCAGACCTGGGTGATGTTAGTCTCGGTATAAACAAACACTCTGTATCGACGTACCGTGAAGATCAACATACAGCTCTCTCGAGCCGTCGCTGTCCTTGTTGCGATCTTCGTAAAGGATACGAGCAGCTTCACGGTGAGCTTCACGCATCAGGTTGTTCTCACTCTGCCCCCTAAGACTAAGAGCTTTAGCCGCGCGCGAATCGCTGCGGTTCCAAGCTTGAGCAGCGCTGTTGTATGTTAGCGGTGGAATGTCGTAGGACGAGGCATGCCTCTTACCTCTGCAAAAACTTGTTGCGCAGACTGCCATGCTTGAAAGCCTCGGCGCGAGCTTTGAGATAAGCCTGATTGCCCTTCTCACCCGTCTCTAGCCATGGAATGTGCTGAGGAGCGGGTATCGCCTGGGCAGCCACACTGTTTTCGCGAGATCCTGTGAAGCTTTTAGTCGGTCTCAATCCCTTGCGAGCCGGAGTGGCAGGAGCCGGAACAGGCGACATGCGAACGACATCTGCAAGATTGTTAGGTCCTGGAGCATCTTTGTGATGGCCATGTCCACCTCGCTTGCCGTGGTGACGCTTTCCAGTCTTAGCAGCAGCAGCGGAACCCAGACTAGGGAAAGCGTCGTTATCGTCGACTGCGAGCACCGAAGGTGTGGTGGCACGCGAAGTCTGGCGACTGCCGGTTCTAGACTGCGGGCGGCTACCGCCTCCGGGAGTGAAGTTTGCAAAAGGACTCAGTCCTGGTGGAGGGCGTGTGGGGCCACCACCTGTCAGACCGTAGAGTTGTTCCAAAGAGGTCGCGGCTGATGTTATCGACGGTGTGCCTAGGGGAGAGCCGTTGTAGTGGAGGGTGGGAAATTCATAATCGGACATCTGGAAGTTGGGTATTGGTGGAGTTTGGACGTCCGACACAGCCATACGAGCCATGAGCGCAGACGGGTCATGTGAGAAGAGGCACGTATCGCCAGCCAGGCAGTTTCCGTTTAGAAAGTATCTGTATCGGGTATTAGCCTGGACTACCTAGAGAGCTGTGTATATACCTACTTGCACAACGTCTTGCTGGTGTCATGGCTGAATCTGCAGTCTGCTCGGGCGCAATGTCCGGTTGACAGAAAGTACTTGCACACGATGTTGCTCTTCTGCTGACCCACGGGTGTACTAGGCCTAAATGCTGGGCTCATAGACTTCCCGATGACGTATCCTGGGTGCTCGGAGGGTGTGGTAGGGAGTTGTTGTACGTCCAGTTGCTGTCCCATGAGTGCGAGGAGAGCGGCACTGAGGTCGTAGCCATTGGCCTCTAAGACCTTCTCCAGCTCTTCGTCTGATCGGTCGTCCCTGAGGATCGAGCGCAGCATGTCGTATGGGCCCATGTCCATGGTCTGGGGCTGCACCCACTCGGCCGCGGCACCGTTGAGCGTGCCATCGCCGAGGAGAGACGACTCAGTGCTCGCGGCGTCATCGTTGACTAGCCAGTCGACGGAGTGGCCATCGAGGTCGCCATACGACTCGGTGTTGGGACTTGCGCATTCGCTGAACTGGTATGCGCTCAGGCTGGGGCTGTGGGGGATATGCGGTGTGGAAAAAGCAAGGCGAGGCGAGGGTCGCGGGGAAGTAAAGGGGGACGCGGTGGACGACTTTGTGCGCGCGAAGCCCGGTGGCATGGGGAAGCCCGGCGGCGGGTGTACCATGCGCGGCGAGGCGTTGACAGGAGTAGGGGCGCGATTGGCCTGCCAGGGAGCTGGCGAGGGCCGGCGGATGATGGTATGGCGGCTGGGCGGAGAGCTGGACGAGCTGCCGGCGTCGCGATAGCGCCAGAGGCAGTCCAGGACGATGTTCTCGAGTGATTTGCCCGTGAGGTTGGTCTCCTTGCGCATCAGCTCCTCGAGCTTGTCCGTCTTGTCCTCCTCATCCAGGGCCTCGTCCTGCAGCACAGGCAGCGCCTTCTCGTACAAGTCGTCGGCGACCATGGCGTTTACTTCCAAGCAGGCAAAGGATACTGGGCGATGGGTGTTCGGGTGTGGCGCGCAGGACGGGTGAGGTCAGAGGTCAGAGGTCGGGGTCCAGGTCGAGACAGGAGGCCGTCGGGGGTGATTACAAGTACTGCGGGTAATGGCAGAGGAGCGACCGGCGCGTCACAGGAGGAATGAAGCTGCAACGAAGGGCAATAACCAGTCCCGCAGCCTTCTTCTGCAGGACACACCAAGTGCGCCAAAACGGGCAGAGTGATGGAATGCCTGGGGCGATCTCGAGCGCGAATGAAGCTCAAGGGACTAGGCTCAACTACGTAGGGGTGGGGGATGCTTGCACCGTGCAGCAACGTCGACCATACAGCGGGAACGGTAATCTCCAGCACTTGCTCCCGGTCTGCCCTACATGGCCCTGGAGCCTCGAGCGGGTGGTGATGTGGTGCGAAGGAGTCTCAGCTGAGCGAGGATGATGACGACTGGGGCTGGATAAGAAGTGCTGCGATGGCATTCGTCGGCGGAAAAACAAGCTGCAACATATGCCTCAAGTGCCTTCGAATAGGGCTATGGGCGCCACAGACTGCGAGAGGCTGAGTAATCACGTGCTCTGCGTCGTGTGGGTCCGCGGAAACATCCATGGATGCAGTACGTTGTAGGTTGCTGGGAGCTGTCTAACATGACCAGAGCACATGTCACACACAGTATATGCGCATACAATGCTGCAATCACCCTATACACGAAACAACTTGAGCAGGTCTGCGGACTACATCACGACAAAAACCTGCAAAGTGGGTAACCTAACGTCAACGTAGGCTCCAGGGTGTTCAGTTTTTTGCTAGGTTGACTGGCAATCATCGAATTATAGTTGTCCCACGCGCATGCCGAGCAAGACTGCTTTTCAACTCGGGGCCGATCTGATCTAATCGCCTAATGCAGGGCGGATCCATGGCGGATGCACCGCGTTCGTCCGCCCGGATGACGATGAAACCCAGAGCTCTCCAACAGCGCCCACACCACACTAGCATTAGCATCTCACACCAAAGCTGCCTCCGACGCTCCACTACCACCACGCGGAATGTCCGTCTCCAGTTGTATCAGCTAGCATCTCCCATTACCGTTCTATTCACTTCCCTACTGCATTCACATCCTCTTACCTCCGCATACTTCCGCGCCACTCCGTTAGGCGCACCTCCCCGTATTGTATAGAGGCATCCATCAACATGCCAGCGAGCGACTATGATGTCCGCGCTCTTGCGCTTCCTTTAGACGACGAGGAAACAGGCCAGACGCCAATATGGAGTCGACGTCCGCAATCATCTACCTTCCGGCGCAACGCATCGCACCACAGTCAACAGACCTCATGGCGGCAGCGCGCCATGGACAAGTACGATACACTCTCGCGACGAGTCCTCGATCAATATAACAAACTTTCACCCCTGCAGAAAGTGCTGTTCTTCGTAGGGAACTTGGTGCTGGCAGTGGGCGGCATACTGTTCCTGGTGTACAACGAGCGCATATTCGGGGCCCTGTTACCCGTCGCGAAGAAGTGGAGAGACGTGACAGCCGGATGGCTGATCCTCTGGGTCTTGATCTTCATCGTATCATTTCCGCCATTGATTGGCTATTCGAGTTTACTCACCATAGCCGGCTTTGTCTATGGCTTTCCAAACGGGTATGCTTCACACGTTACTCACAACATGCAATCTGACAGTGTACCAGTTGGTTCATCGCCGCGACTGCAACCGTCGCTGGCAGCACAGCATCCTTCCTCCTCTCGCGCACCCTCCTCAAGTCTATGGTCCACCGCCTCATAGCCAATGACACGCGCTTCGCTGCCCTCTCTCTCACCCTCAAACACGATGGCCTCAAACTCCTCGTCATGTACCGACTATGTCCGCTACCATACTCCATCTCCAACGGCGCTGTCGCAACCTTCCCCACCGTACACTGGGCATCCTACGCTCTAGCCACAGCCATAGTATCACCGAAGCTGATGCTACACATATTCATCGGCAGCCAACTCGAGAAGATTGCTGAAAGTGGAGGCAAAATGGACCCCAGCACAAAAGCTCTATCCTACGTTTCCATTTTCATTGGTCTCGTTGCGGGTGTTACCACGGGCTGGCTCGTATACCGCAAGACCAAGGCCCGCGCTGCACAGCTAGAAGCTGAGGAGCGTGCGGGTATCCGTCGCATGAGTATCGAGGACCTTGAACATGAATACGCGGACGATCCGGGAGCGCTGGAAGCTGCCGAAAGGTTACGTGAAGAGGATGACGACATCAGTCTTCGGACAACATGGGACGATGAATACAGAGATGAACCACCCGAGACGGGTGATGCCGTGGAAATCGGCGACGATCCATTCAAGGATGGCGATGCCAGTGACGGAGAAGAACGGGGACGCGGAAGGCAGAAGTAGACGTATTTGTATACGGTCCTTTTGCTTAGATCGCTTGGATAGGCGAGTACCTACTATAGACTACTAGAATTGAATCCGCATCGTCAAATGTCCTTCCCTTCCAACTATATCGTGAGACGGGTATGATCTGGCTACAAGCCAAGGGAATAGGCTCTGAATTTCATTCCATATTTCAGACATCCTATATTACGTTTGCCTGCTACAGACAAGCCTGCGGCTTCAGAGAGTTTTTAATACTGATCCTGGTCGACATTCGGCTTTTCTCCCATTGGCATAGGTTTGGGGCATGAAGCAATGTACGTAAACAGGGTACCTCCAAACTATTTGGATGCTACCTGATGTGATCACCGTATGCTGCAAGATGACAGTGAGCTACAGCAGACATGACCGAGTTCCTGCGTAGCTTAAAATCAATATCACCTTTTCGTCACATACGTCAGGAACAACAAGTATAACAGAGGAAACGTTCATTTGTCATATACAGAGCCTCCACCATCCCACTTCCATGAGCTGAAAAAGAGCCGTATATGTACCGCTAACAGGAGCACAGGGAATCACAAGAGGTATTCGTCGACCAAGGTAGGCGTGCGTTGCCAGGCTGATGTCAATGCAGAAAAACGAACAAATCTTCCATATTGAGACACAGCTGATGGCGAGGACGCATCTTCTATTATACATCTATTCTCAAAGACCAATCAGCACTTTTTTGGCCCCTCAGAACATTGGAATAGACAGTACCCACTCTTCCAGCCTTCAACTCGTTTATGCCGCGAAGCTCTTGGTGAAGCTCTGTGCAACCTCCCTGAGCTTGGACTCGAGGTCCTTGCTGAGCGCACCTTCCCGGTCGATCTGGTTGAGCATGTCCTGCTCGTTTGATCGGAGGTGGGCAAGGAAGTCAGCCTCCCACTGAAGAATCTTGCTGACGGGTACGGAGTCGAGGAGACCGTTGATACCAGCGTAGATCAAAGGAACCATCTCGTTGACGGCCATGGGGGAGTACTGCTTCTGCTTGAGGAGCTCGGTGAGACGCTCACCACGGGACAAAGTCTGCTTTGTCGCAGCATCGAGATCGGAACCGAATTGAGCGAAGGCAGCAACCTCACGGTACTGGGCCAAGAAGAGCTTGAGGGAACCGGCGACCTGCTTCATGGCCTTGACCTGGGCAGCGGAACCGACACGGGAGACAGAGAGACCGACGTTAATGGCGGGACGGATACCCTTGTAGAAGAGCTCGGCCTCCAAGAAGATCTGGCCATCAGTGATGGAAATGACGTTGGTGGGAATGTAAGCGGACACATCACCACCCTGGGTCTCAATGACGGGCAGAGCAGTGAGCGAACCACCACCAAGCTTGTCGTTCATCTTGGCGGCACGCTCAAGGAGACGAGAGTGGAGGTAGAAAACGTCACCGGGGTAAGCCTCACGACCAGGAGGACGACGGAGAAGCAGAGACATTTGACGGTAGGCAACGGCCTGCTTGGTCAAGTCATCGTAGATGATCAAGGCGTGCTTGCCGTTGTCACGGAACCATTCACCCATGGAGCATCCGGCGAATGGCGCAATGTACCTGAGGGTGTGTCAGTCAATGTCTCATATCAGCTCACGTCAAGCAAGAAAAAAACTGAACAGGCCTGCAGCCTACATCAACACGAAAGCACACAAGATATGTGACCTGGCGTCGATGTAGGCTCCAGACCTATCCGGGATTTTTCTTGTATGAGGTGAGCTCGTACAGATACAACTTACTGCAGAGGGGCGGCCTCAGAGGCGGTGGCGGCAACGATGATGGTGTACTTCATGGCGTCGTTCTCCTCGAGGGTCTTGACGAGCTGGGCAACGGTGGATCGCTTCTGACCGACGGCAACGTAGATACAGTAGAGCTTCTTCTTCTCGTCGGTGCCCTTGTTCCATCGCTGTCTAATCTTCATGTCAGCTTGTGTTGCTTGTAGGTCGTAAGGAAGTTTGCGTACTGGTTAAGCATGGCGTCGAGGGCAACGGCGGTCTTTCCGGTTTGACGGTCACCAATGATCAACTCACGCTGACCACGTCCAATGGGAACCATGGCGTCGACGGACTTGAGACCAGTCTGGACGGGCTCCTTGACGGACTGGCGGGGCAGGATACCGGGGGCCTTGAGCTGAGCACGGCGGCGCTCAGTGGTCTTGAGGGGACCCTTTCCGTCAATGGGGTTACCGAGAGCGTCAACGACACGTCCGAGAAGAGCCTCGCCGACGGGAACGTCGACAATCTCTCCGGTACGCTTGACGGTCTCGCCCTCCTTGACCAAACGGTCAGAACCGAAGAGCACAACACCGACCTGGCCGGCTTCCAAGTTCATGCACATGCCCTTGACACCGGAGGCGAACCTGTCACCCCGTTAGCTTCCATGGCAAATTGTCGTAATGTGCAGGTGGCGTACTCGACAAGCTCCTCAGCCTGGACGTTGTTCATGCCGTGGACACGGGCGATACCGTCACCGACGGACAGGACACGTCCAGTCTCGGAGAGGCTGTTCTCCTCCTGGACACCGCGGATCCTCTGCTCCAGGATGGAGGAAACCTCGGTGGGGGTGGCCTTCGCA